ATGAATGTGTGAGAATGGTGGATGCAGTGGTCGAAAAGACTAGAAAGGCCCTATACAAATACGAAGCACTTACATTTTTTTCATTTGTATTCTAATCCCCCTAAGGCCTAGTCCACACATACACCGGTATATTTACCAGAGTTTTTCCTCCTTCGTTTAAAAAAAATCTCTGTCTACATGAAAATGCAAAAACTCTGGCACGACAACACTGCAACCGGCGTTTCACACAACAACTCAACTGAGCCGTTCAGGACGTAGAGTTACCCAGAGCGACTGAAAAGGTTCTATTGGAGAGGTATGAGCATAGTAAGCTAAGAGCCAAGCATACACACGTCTCCAAGTGATGTACGAGGATACTCTGATCGACTCTGTCAAAAGGGTGCACCTCTGTTTGCAGTCAGCTGTAGGTCATCAATAACCTTGAAGGTAATATTTCTGAGGTTCTATCAGCAGAAATGCTATCTAAGATCCATAACTATGTTTTCAGTGGTGTGTAAAGATCTTACATAATAAACCATTATGTTTTTAGAATGAGCCAAATTTATCGTCACGTTGGAACGTCATGTTTCTACAGTAGCTGTAAACTGACAAACAGCGCTGCAGAGTGCATTTCGTCATTAGGTTCTTCTTGTTCTACTTCTGGTAGAATTCAGGCAGTGCAGACACTCAACACTATGTTGAATATGTACGTTAGTAGAAGAAGAAGAAGTAGTAATAATACACAGCTCAGTTGGAAAGATGTGGGACTTGCAACCCAAGGGTTGAATGTTTGATCCCACCTTGACTTATCTTTTTCTCTCTTCCACAAATGGATTCTGCAGCAATTCACAACCCCTGCCACTAGATGCCACTAAATCTTACACACTGAACCTATACAGTCTTCACCCGGGCAGGTGTTTTCAAAAATGTTCGGTTTCAGTGACCTGATGCTGTATTTCCGTGTGGACAAATGGCCAAACTGCGAAGAAAAAGTCATGCTTTTGAAAATACCCGTGTTTGTGTAGACAGGGCTTAAGATGTCTGTTGCTGAGTCTAGTGCCCCGCTGTGATTAAAACTGATGTTCTGTGCTAGGCATTTACTGGGTGTCGTATTTTGGATGGTAGTTTAAATACAGGTCGCGCTCCTCTCTCTGGATATCCACAGCTTGACTCTGTACTGCCTCCCTTTCCATGATGAGACTGCACTGGGTGAGTATACTCAACTTTGACACTGCATGGTATTTTCTATTGAAGAGTCTAGATGCTAAGTGTGTAGTGAATAGTTTAATTAAATGTTAAGTATGTAGTGGTGGCTTAACCCCTTGTGTCCCCAGAGGCTCTGACATGTAAGTCGCTTTGGATAAATGTAGTGTATGACCTTTCTAACAAGTTGAAAGAATGGAAGTTGTATTGTAGGGAATAGTCTTATTAATCATCTGATATACGCTGATGAGCTGGCCGTCCTGTCTCCTTATAGTGCTCAGATTCTGCTCAAAGTATGGTGTGCAGCATGACATAAAATTTAATTTAAGTGTTATTATGATTGCCAAAACCAAGGAGGATCAGAAACAAACCTTTCCTACTTTTTATTTGGCAAACCAAGTGTTAAATGTGGTGAATAAAGTAAGATATTTGGGTCATATAATCATGTGACGATGATGATATGCAGCGCCAGTGTTGCAAATTGTATGCACAAGCCAATGTGCTGGCACAGAAATTTCATATGTGTTCTGATGATGTTAAAATAGCTCTTTTTAAAGCTTACTGTACTCCACTCTAGACAGCCCACCTGTGGTAAAATGAAAAAGCTGTGGGTGGCATTTAATGAGGCATTTAGAATCCTGCTTAAATTCCCAAGATGGATAAGTGCAAGTCAAGTTTGTGACAAGTAATGTTCACTGTCTTCATGCTGTATTGTGGAATCTTATGCATAAATATATGTGTCGGCTGATCATTTCAAAAAATTTGGTCATTTTAGCTTTAACAGAACCTAAAAAAAAAGTAATACAAGGTATTCCTTGTGTTTTTTTTAATTATGGTGGAATGTGTTATGAAATGAGCTTGTACATATTTTGTACTGGGTATCTTTTATTGTGTCTTTGTATTTATTTTATTTTACTTTACTGATATGGACCTATGCGTCTGTTGTCTCTCTCTTCTGTCTCCCACAGTTGCTGATTGGGGTGGTGTGTACAAGCCGACCTGACCTTCCTCCCCTGAGGAGACTAAAACTGTTTTTACCTACCAATTTATTATCCGGCTAATTTTGCATATACCGTTGTCCACCTTTGTAATGTTATGTGATGTTACTGGAAACATCGGAGAAATTCTAAAATGATCTGTGGCACATTTTGAAAGATCTCAAAATGTGACACAGATCATTTTAGAATGTCTCCGATGTTTCCAGTAGATGGCAGAGGGCTCCATATTTTAGGAGAGCAATCCATGTTCAGAAAAACCTGACTGATGCAGCAAATACACCTTTGTCCTTTTTGGAGTATCTCCTGAATGCAGTGGCAGACATTTAAACCTGCATTCAACAGATTTGAATATATTATATATATTATATATATATATTCTATAGCAATTACAATAATGGCACTTCTTCACTGCATAGATGTGTGACTTCAGTATATGGTACAGAATGAATCACAAATGCTGCACTATGCTTCAGTGTGCTTTATTTTCCTAAATTAAAGAAATTCCAGAACACCACTACCAAAAAAATTGTGTCACCAAATAAACACTTGTATAGGATAGCAGTACTGTCAACCCTGTCTTCTGTATTTATGTCCTCTCTTGTAATTTACATGGGAAATAATCTTTTTACATGCCTGGTGCATTCACTGCATCCAGGAGGGACATACAGTATGATCATATGAACAGTGGTCATAAACTTTCCACCTCAATGAGGAAAATAATTCCTTTATGGGGTAGATAACCATCTGTCAGGGGTCTCTGTCCCTGTCTTTGCTGGGTCTATGAATACTGAGACACATTCATTCCAAATATTCCATATCTAGATGTCATAAAAGTGAGAAGCAGAGCCACCTGGGTAGGTGTTCAGTTAAAATGGGAGTCAGCTGGTTGGTCTATTCTGTTATGCAATAGCATAACATGTTTTTATGAGAAGCACGTTCTGTTGAATATATGAAGTTTTGAAAAAGTGAACTCAGTATTGAGAAATGCATGTAAGATACTGCTACACACAACTAAAGTAATGGTATCAGTAGATGTGTAGCTGAATTGGTCTTTTATGCTGTTTCAGCATGCCACACAGTATCAGCAACTCTCCTTCAATATTTATCCAGGGTTACCAATATTTTATACTTAAAGCTACAAGTTGTACATACTGCACACCTGGGAGTATCTCATCCTTAAAAAAAAAATCGAACCTAAACCCTAAACGGAATCAGATTTCCATAGGAATTCATAGTTGTAGTTCAGCCCCCCAACCACAGTGACACAGATTAGCCACTAGAGAGAGACACAACAAAACACAAGGCAAACTCCTCACACCGAGGATATATGACTAATTTCTCACAAGGATGCAAACATTTCTATGAAGAATTATGTTACAAATGTGTTTTGGGGTATGGGTGAAGTCCGTGTACTGTGTCTGAAGACAGCATGGGACACTGCTGAGGTTCTGCTGAGGGACTCGGTGACCTAGCAAGTGAGGAATAATGTAGCGTTTTCCTTGATAATATCTTTTACACACTTCTGGGTTAAAGTTTAAAGTAACAAACTAATACCGTCCAACAACTCCAAAGCTATCTAACGGTTGCAGTCAGCCTTCAAAGAGTGGTTTTGTTCCTAACCTGGCCAGCCAAATCTGACAGGATATGTTTGTCACTGTGTCCAGTAGTTGTTGGTCAAGAACCTGCTTCAATGCTAGCTGCTCCTAAAACCATGTCCCACTTTCTGTTTCAAATCATAGTAAATGCACAGGATAAATCCAAAAATGAATAAATCAACTCAGCCCTGTTCAAGGGGTAAACTTGCTTGCGTGAACAAAGGAGTAAGGAATGAGAGAGTGAGGCAGAGTTAGTGTTGGTGGCACATCTAAATCAAAAACTATGAAGAACGCCCAGGTGAGACGCTTTGGATTAACAAGCCTAAGGCAGTAGTTCTATGGAACAACTAAATTAGTAAGGAAGCAGGAAGCAACTAAATTAGAACCAAGAGCATGTGGTTCCTATGTTACAGTGCACCATAAGTGTTCTGCATGCTATCCTTGCAAAGGTTGTAGGAGGTTCCAAACATTCTGTTAAAACATTTACTCAGTCAGTATCTTTCAAGCTTTGACAAAAATGCCAATACCCACCCCAAAATAGTGATGAATGGAAATTGTGTAGTGTTTTTTTTAAAGAGCCATTCCAAATATTATTAAACACCTACAAGGTATACAGTTCAAAGCTAACTCAACAATGGAAATCTTTGTCTATAGGCTTGAATCTCATCAAATGAGGGTTTGTGGCTGTAATAAAGACAGCTCCCGCTAGACAACACATTTTCTGTTGAGAATGTTTGGAAGAATTTTAAAATAGCCCACATTTAACCTTCCTCTATATCCTTCACCACATTCCAAAACCCATATAGGCATCACCTCCCATCCGAGCCCATCTAAAACACCCAGAGAGGTTCTCTCCACCAAAATCAACCCAGATTTGTATATTTACTGCTTAGTGCTGCAGTTCAAACAGCAGTGACAGACTGAGAACTAGATTCAGACACACACACATACACCCAAATGAGGAGTGTGTGTTTATGTGTAAACTGGAGTGGGCTACAGAGAATCTATTCATCCTTTCCACCATAGTGTGTACCTACACACACTGTGCACACACAGACTCACAGAACCCTGTAAAAGACTCCAGCCAGTGTGTGATGCAAAGTAGGTGTGAGGTCAGGCCCAGCTAAGTGCGGTGTGTTTTCCCCTCTGGAGCTGGCTGACAGGAAAGGGGCAGTGATTTTGGGGAGCCGTGCCTTACTGAGACACACTGTTGTGCTCTCCAGACAGAGGGGGAGGAAAAGGAGGACGGAGGAGGACAAGAGGTACAGGCACATTGCCCCAGATGAATCACAGTGAGGAAGTCATGCTTTGAGTGATACATACATTTTTGACCTGATGTTCTGTCCGGACTTCTGCCTGTCTGTTTGGAGTGCATCCATCCTTTGGATCCTGTTTGCATCGGTAGAAGCTGCGGATGTTGGCTGAAAGACAACATGATCGACTATAGTGAGTAGGACTTCCACTCCCAACGCTGTAGGCTTTTTAACATGATATTTAATCAGTGCAAGACCACAATAATCTGAACCATGTGTCTGTCAGACTGGTATGCAAATTGACATTTATATATCTATAAATCTAGAAAGATTATCTGACAGGAAAGAGTAAAAATTTTGTTTCTGAGTGAGGATTGAATAACTATCAAAATTAGTTGCAGAGCATGGAAGTTAAATAATGCACGTTTTGGCCTGAGGGCTGGAGTATAATAACGCGTGTGTGTGTGTGTGTATGTGTGTGTTTGTGTGGATTCATGGACCCACTTGCACACAGAGGTCCTTCATGAAAACACAAATTGCACAACAGTATGTCCATTCCTAGGTGACCTTTAGAGTACAAATAGCCCAGTGAGGCCAGCAGTGGATGGGCACGGCTTCCTCTCTGCTCTCTCCACAGCCACACAGAAGCCCACAGGGCCATACTTAGCTGCGACCACATACAGCACACTGAATGATGCTGTCATTCTAACGCAACAGAGGACAGCGTAGTAGTATAAACAATGTATGTGAAGGCTCTCTGTCATCCAGGTCATAGTTATCCAACGAAGGCTGAGGTCAAGGGCAACTGGACTTGGTTGAAGATCTTCAACCAAGTCCAGTTGCCCTTGACCTCAGCCTTCGTTGGATAGTATAAACAGTCTCTGTGATTGTACACATTGTAAAAGTGGTGGATTATTCATTTGCAGCATGATGCAAGTGGCTCTCTTGGCTGTCCTCTGTAGGTCTTGCTCCATCTCAAAGACTGGAAAAATCTCCAGTGAAAACCCCAAACAACACACATGTTGTTCAGCTGTGCAGCCACCCCGCCTTCTGCTTTCCCTCAATCAGGTTCTGTTAGACTAGAGTCCCTGCCTCGCTAATGCTAGAGGCAAAGTATGGTTCCTGTGAGGACCCGCCCACACACACACTCACATAAGACCCTGTAAACACATGTGTACACACTGTTTAACCAGCGTCTATCATGAATACACCTTTCATGTGCCCCCCCAACACACAATTTTCCTCTTCGTCCAAGTTTTCATACAAAACAGTGTTACTGTTGTGTGGCATCAATAGAGTAAAAAGTATGTATGAAAATTGGACTCTAATCTCTGTGTACTCAACATCTTCTAAAAAAGCTCTTGTTTCAGAGCTTTTTTATGAAGCTTAGAATATCTTGTTATACTCTAATATCTAAGATACAGCATGTTAATAGGATTCACGTATTAGGCAAGCACTCACAAATTTAACTTTTTATTAAAGCTAGCATAGAAGAAACCAGAGAGAGACAGCTGAGAGACATCCCACCCCCTCCCTTCAGAGCTCCCTCCAAACTACTCCCCCAAAACACATGTTCATGTGCAGAGTGCGCACAGGTAGGCGGGTAGGTAGACAGGCAGGTAGGCTTGTTTCTGCGACAGCCACAGATACCTGAGGTTTCTCATTTTTGTGTTAGAGCATTGGATTTATTGATTGCTGTCGGGATGTAGAGAACAAATATAACAAAACATGCCTCTGAAATAAATGACCCACCTCACTTTTAAATTACATTTTGGGCCATTCCTTCTGTTTATTATATTGTTGCTATCTTATCCATGATATCGACTCACACTCTCTTTCTTTCATCTTTCTATCTGTTGTCTCCGTTTAACCCATACTGTCCATTATCATAACTAGCCTCAGTCTATCAGTCTGGTGGCGTGAAACTCGTGATCATTTTGGGCCTAAGGAAAGGGAAAATGGTAATGATTAAAGGCTGTAAAAAAAAGAAATAGTAAGTAAAAAGAGAGATAACAGCTGAGATTGATTTCCATCCTACAGTGAGCTGGAATACATTCAGCTGGAGAGTGTAAAGGCCTAAGAAAAAAGACAGAGGGAGAGATGGAGTCTATGCAGCTTATAGGCCTCCAGCATAGAGATCCATGTCTCTGTTTCCTGTCTATCTCGCCAACAAGCAGACTAATGCTCCATAATTGCTAACACATTTCCAGGATCAGAGCCACAGAAGAGTCACCAGAAAAGAAAGCCCTTCTTCTTCCTCCATTTACCTTTTAAAATGGATAAACAGATAAATATCAGTAAATATATGAATAACTATAAAACAATTTAATTTACATAAGAAATGACTTAATTTACTTTTTGTATTATATAATTTACTTTATATACTATAATAATCATTTTACATATAATTTAATTACTGAGATGCAGTCAAAACTGAGAGCTGAGACTCTAGCTTGCTGTCTTGCGGTCAGCATATTATACATAGTGCTTACTGTTTGACGAGAGTCTGTTATATTCCACCTGCATGCTGTTATATTCAATACAAAGAGGACGTTGTCAGCATATGGTCTCGACCAGGTACTCAGATCTTTAAACTATATGCACACTCACAATCATTCACCATAAGTTTTTTCTGTTGGTGAAGTTAGTAAGATTTCGAAACAAAGTAGGAGTTTCAAAATGAGATTATAGCAGACAGTGATCATTCATATAGAGCAACAGCTGGCTGTGGCCTACAGTTTGTGGGAGTTACATCATGACTGGAATACACGCAACACGTTTTCCAGGTCAGAGACAGACAACTGGCTAAGTACTTGTTTTGTTGTTGGTTTTGGTAGGTAGCAGCACTCTACACACACTGATTACCTAAAGACTAACTTTCTTAAAATCACTATCCTGGCGTTCGTTGTGGGCTTGACAGGAACTGATGAGGAACGGTCAAGGACCTGGGATTAAACATCTTACTGTGCATGTGGATCCTTGACATTCTGAAGGGTTCTCCAGGACTTTTTCCCAGTGGCGTGAGGTAGTAACAGCGGGCCTCAATATTGAGGGGGGATCCCAACTTGGACCGATCCTTGTTTTTGCTGAAATCTGATTTGCTCTATGCCGCCGATCAAAGGAGTTTACTCTCAATACATGTTGTCGAGGCTTAACTCAGCCCAGGGTTGTGTGACAAGCACAACACAGCAGGTAAATATGTGGAAAAGAAAGAAAAGTTAACTGACTTCTTCCTTGGTGAAAAAATTATTTATATACAGTTGTGCTCAAAAGTTTGCATACCGTTGAAGAATTGGTAATTTATATACCATTTGTAAAGAAAACATGAGTGAGCAAGCAAAACACACGTCTTTTATCTCTTATGGGATTCACATTGAACTGTATATAACAGAATGGCATAATCATAAAACAAAACATGGCAACAAAGAAAAAAATGACCCGACCCCTGTTCAGCAGTCTACAGAGACCCCTCTCCAAACATAACGCTTATGGTTGTGACCATAAATTCTTTTTGCAGTTTTGACTTAAATCTTTCTCGGTCTACCTGATCTTGGCTTGGTATCGAGAGATCCAAGAATTTTCCACTTCTTAATAAGTGATTGAACAGTACTGACTGGCATTTGTAAGGCTTTGGATATCTTCTAATATACTTTTCCATCTTTATGAAGTTCCAATTCCTTGTTATGCAGGTCTTTTGACAGTTGTTTTCTGCTCCCCATGTCTCAGTCTCTAGCCTGCTCAGTGCATCCACATGAGAGCTCACAAACTCATAGACTATTTATACACAGACGCTAATTGCAATAGGCAAAGCATATAGGCTAAATTATATTTTTATATTATAAACAACAGTTGAAGGAAGAAGGAAGAGGAGGAACTGTAGGACAAGAATGATGTAAAGAAGCAGGAGGTGGATAAGGACAATGGATCCAGAAACAGTGACAGGTAACATAGGTAGAATTAGAAAATGGATTATTGTTAGTCATATTTATTACTAATGTTCTTCTTATGCATATGTAGCTGTATAATAACAACCTGGTCTTCTTCAGTGCAGTGGTGCCTTACTTATACAAACTCAAGAGGCAGGTGTCATAAAAAGTTTGTTGAAGGTCTTAATCATAATGAAATTGACTGTATACAAGTACAACACTATTTATTCAATTCAATTCAATTCAATTCAATTTTAATTATATAGCGCCAAATCACAACAACAGTTATCTCACAGCGCTTTTCATAAAAGAGCAGGTCTAGACCGTACTCTATGATGATATTTACAGAAGCCCAACAGTTCCCACCAAGAGCAGCACTAGGCGAGAGAGGCAAGGAAAAACTTCCTTTTAAGAGGCAGAAACCTCGAGCAGAACCATGGCTCAGGGTGGGCGGCCATCTGCCTCCACCGGTTGGGGTGAAAACACTATTTATTTATGAAAACACACACACACACTGCTGCTGTGGCTGTGTTGCGTGCACCTGGACGCAGCAGTCTAAAGTACCATCATGTGATGGATTTTAGAGTCGGACTGTGTCACCTAGACTTTTGTATTTGCAAAGTACAGAAGTCAAAGAGAAAGTTATAAGGAGCATGGCCAGTGCTGTCATTGTCAAAATCCTGAAATGTCACTACAAACAGTAGTGCAGGGGTGTACAGGTGTCCACTGTGTGAAATGAGGCAGACTTTTTGAAGGAATTTCAGTACAATGACCTTCCGAATGATTCCTCTTCGACAGAGAAGCAAGACATTATGATGAATAAGAACGAAAAGTGGTATACTCATAACACAACACCATGTTCTGAAAACAGGCCAGCTACGGCGCACACACAGTTTAATAAGGAATGTGAAGGTACGTCATGCAGTGTTGCATTATGGGACGTGGGTGCCATGTTCACAGGCACAATCTCTGTTGTCCTTTTCGCCGGCAGTTGCTATGGCAGTTCATTCATTCATTCTTCGTCATGATCGAGCAGCACTGACCACCCATATCGACGTTTATTAAAATCTCAACAGAAAATCCAAACACAGCCACATACACATTCAATCCTGTAAATATGGCGGCGGACCCATAATGCAGCACGGCGCGACTTCACCTTCACATTCCCTATACCCACAAGCAGATCCACACAATTAAACAGGCAGGCGTACTCACTGGTGACCTGTCTTCGAAATGGTAACAGCCTTTTAAACAACGGCAGCCACACCAAATCCACTGAAAAGGCCCTTGTAAAGTTACTTACTTGTAAAGACCGGAAGTACCGGAATCACTAGGTCAACACTGAGAAGCTTTGGAAGAGCTTCATGTCACCAGGATACTAAATGAGGTCACTGCATAAGAATAAGCGCACAGAGAACTCTTCCACCACACGTGTAAATATTGTGAAGCAAAATCAATATTATTGTTGGTTGTGTCAGGCAAAACCATGAAGTTGGTTTCTGGCATCTTCCTTTAACCTACGTCTGCAGGTGTGTGAAAGATGGTGAGCTATGATTGATCGGTGTAGTCTTTCAGCCAAGTCATGATAAAAAAAAAATGTTTGATAAAAAAAAAATGTTTGTCTGAAACAGTTACCATCTCAGGAGACAAAAACATCATGTGGACTGATCCAGTATTTAGACTTATTAAGCTTAGCTTAGCAAAAAGACTGGAAACAGTGGAAAACTATTCACACTTTTTTTCAGAGGCATTCACAAAGATTGAGGATTCAAACAATGTGAAATGATCCCAACCAGGAAAGTAGCTAAGTCTAGTGCAATTGAAACATCAACATCACATGCAGCTGGAGAACTGCTCAAACCTTCTGAGCCAGTCAGGCTGTGACTGTGAGGGGGCTGGGAGTGAAGTTAGCAAGATAATGATGTTAGACCAAAGGCCTTATGGGTTTTCAGTTAAAGAGCCTCTGCACATTGTTTACTAAGTGTTCATGGCAAATGTAAGAGACCATCTACACTAGCATGTATAATGCATTTGAGGGTCATCCTTTCGTGGTCTCTGGAGTGTGAAGCGTTGAAGTGTAGAGACCATCATTTGCTCTAATGGGACCAGGCTAACATCACTTTCTGTTCTTACATTGCATAGATTGTTTGTACATTAAAACATGAATTGAGCTAGGAACTAGCCTCTGTTACTTCATCAGTTTCTATTTTTCTGTCCATCTTCCATGTACTTTAGTCATATCTGACTTTGCATGTCATTGTATATGCATTTTTTCTACAGACATTGTGAACAGAGCTGCGTTCACGTCATGTTACGACTGGGAAATTTTGACCTTTCTGACCCCTTTAGTCATTTCAGACTTTGTCATACGTGTGTGGAGTATCCATGTGTTTCTCCCAACAGAAGAATGATTAAGCTGCAGCCTTGAGGACCTTTTTCAAAGCAGGGAAGGAAAAGCACTTTTATCTCTGTTAGCCTCCACAATTGCCTCAGCAGTTTCTCAGAGCACTTACACACACGGATGCAGTCAGACTATCCTAACTGAATTTTCTAATTGCCCTCCAGAGCGTCCCTCTCCATTAGGCTTCGGGACGGCTGGGAGGAGTGCGCTGGTTCCTGAGCTCCCAGCACACATACATACACACACGCTGACGGCCATGCCTCAGAGATACTCCCACCAGAAGAGGAAAGCCAGCACAGCGGCTGCCCGGAGGATGGAGAGGAGACGCAGGGACCAGGGGAAAAACAGCAACAACAACCCAAACTGCAGCCACAACCACCATTCGAAGAAGCTGGCCATGCTCTCCAGGTACCAGCACCACTCTGGCTTACAACTAAGGCTGTACAGGAAGTCCAATACATATGAAGTTAGGTTACTCTCCTTTTTATTGGCAGAAATGGTGTGTAACTTTCTCTTTGGACTGATGTAAATCTTTATGATATAATTTCAGTCTAGAATATGTGTTGATATTTTGCCTTATGACGACCAGAGATAATAATTTGAGTATTCTGATAAATAGAATATTCTTCCACATCGCTTTTATAGCTGCATAACTCAAGTGTTTTACAGTTTTGCAGTGTTGATATTTATGTCATGAATACTTGGAACTGACTTTGTGACTTTCGCTGACTCTGTCCAGGTCCCTCATCCTGTGTCACTCTAAGACGAATGATGACAGTCCAGAAGACAGGCATGCTGGAGAAGTGTCAGATGGGTGCAGGGCATGGCGTTCAGGCTGGGAGACAGATGTGACTGCTGGGGATCAAATCCAGTACAGAGATGCAGAGAACACACACTGGGGGACAACCCGGCAAACAACCGTGCAAAAAAGAGGAGGCATTGAGGCAGATAACCACACGCGTCATACCCCCACACTCAGGGAGAATAAACGGAGCATAAGGAGGACCTTCAGCATCAAGGTACGACTGCAGCAGTTTGAACAAAAGTGATCGTTTGTATATAAAAATAATCTAAGCATATTCTTCAATACATCACTTTACAGATGCAACAATGGTCTAAAATACTGATGCTTATTTTCCCCAGAGCATTAATTCCACTGGCTTTGGTGCTCCCCTGACTTTACCTTTAGCATTGACATTTATTTGATGTTGATGTTTGTTGTTTTCTTCCCACACCGAGTTGTGCCCTCTGTGTGATATTTCTCTAGACACTGTGAACAGAGCTGCATTCATGTTATTTTGGAATTATCATAATTACAAGATTCCGACTCTTACATAGCATTCACATCAACATCCAAGTTGTAATCACAGAATACAGTCATGCCTGAAAACCAACCAAACATGGATTCCTCACATTGGCCAAAATCCATTGTTCAAGGTGATTATCCCAAATTTAATGGATATAATGTTAAGTACTTAATGTAAGTAAACAGTGTTTTTAACCCCCATTTGACCACATTTGCAGGGGGAACTGCTTTGTCCTAAACATGGGAATCTTTCCCATCTGTTCCATCCATCCCATTTCATGTGAATGGGCATTACTCTCACTCATGTCACCTAATGGTGATGTCATTAAAACAATGAGCTGGTATGAGGATGAATTGTCATTCATTTTACAGTAATAAGAACATGTTCAACACGTGTTTCAGCACATGTGGCTCCTGCAGCCTCCCAGTAATGAGTGATTCATTACTGTGGAATCATCCACTGTTTGACATACTGATCTGAATTCAGATTTATTATTTAGCCATCTATAAGTCAACCATTTGTTTAGAAGTGAGTGTTTGTTTATTGTACATCCCAAGACTTAACATGGTATCAACGTGTTAAAGCTGTGCTGTATACTCTGTGGTGCGTGTTTCTTGTCTAAATGTAATGATAATCACATGCCCTGTGTTGGTGTGTTGGTAGAGCTGTGGCTGGCCTGAATGTCAAACATTCAGACAAAGACAGGGTTTGTTGTGCAGTTCTGTTTCTACAGCTCGGCCTCACAGCACATTCCACTAATGTCAAATGAGGAGAAATTGTCGGTTACTCATCACCTTACAAAATGAGTGATAGATACTTGAGCAGTTCAGCACTGGTTTTTGCCTATACTAATATTTAGACCATCACCAATGAGCATCATTAAGCCAAGTCAAGTCAGTTTCTTTATATAGCATAGTTTAAAAAACACCTGCAGTTAACCAATGTACTATGACAAAGACGCTTAAAACACATTCAAAAGCCAGAGAAAACCAGTGGGTTTTTAGCCTAGATTTAAAATGTTATATGGTGGGGGCAGATCAAACATGTAGAGGGGGGCAGTTCCACAATTTGAGCTACAGAAAAAGGTACAGTCCCCTTTACAGGTCGAACGGCTGTCTGGCATGGAAAGCAGTTCCTGAGTTGACAGTGTGATACAGTCTCAGTGTTTTAGGAGGACATTGTTTATCAGGCCATTTCTACCATGATCACCATGTTAGCTTATCAAGTATACCACTTGATGGAGTCAGACTGCTAACCAACCCTGACCAAAGCTGAGCTCAACAGTAATTTAATAGAGCAGTGTTTTTCCTCTGGGGCTGAACATCAATCATTCTTAATCACCTACCACAATACCATAGCCCTCTCCTTTTGGCTTTTATGTTGAGACTAAATCATTTAGAGTCAAATTTTTGAATGGAGTCTTGTTGTCATAAAGAGAGATTTGTCAAGAAGCAAAGAATTAATCAGGCAAATTCATCACCAAATTATTGGGTTTCTTTGATTCATGTGATAACACGTTCACCTTTGTGAAAATGATCCAAGTAAATTGACCGAAAGGAAGTACCTCAGTGACCATTTCAAGAACACAACCGTTCTGTCTGTATTAGATCATTTAATAATCTGGTCACATACTGTCCCCTTAAGAGCCATTAAGACATACATGACTTTGCCTCATAAGCTTAACCTCTAAACACTACAGCCCAGTTCATGCATCTATAAAACCTTACTGCTGTTTTCTTTTTCCTTGGCTGTCACCTCACTCAGCCAGATGGTTGATATTCTCATAAAGCTTGCTTTCTACATCCTAGAACAGAGGTTCCCTTTATGCTTGTTCACTGTGTGTATGTATGTGTGTGTGTGTCGTTATAGGAGAGTAGTATCTGGAGGATGTGTGTAACCACAGGGCCCGCTGAGGAGGTGTGTGGACCACAAATGGCTGATAACAGCGTCCAGACAGAAGACAAAGACATTAATGTGGAGCCAGGGAAGACTGGGGGGAACCTACACAGGTAATAAAACACAGTACCACAACTCTTGTGTTTTATTTCTCAGGAATGTGCTGCACAAATGGTGAAAGCTGCACTTTAGTAGATATACAGAAATGCCCTTGTCTTATCAGGCTAAATGAGAAAGTGTAGCAACAAAAGAAGAGCAGCCAATCACCACTATGAGAGAAAAAATAGATTCATTATATATAGATGAACAAAATATGTGTGTCTGAGACAGACCCCATTCCCGCCTGGTATTAACATGTAATCTGTATCTGAATATCTTATGTGGATCAGGAAATTTGCATGTTCAATGAATGCAGCTGTAAATGCAAATAGAACTTGTTTGTTAAAAAAGTGTAACACGTTGAAAGGTCACCTAACTCCACCTCTTCCTGTTGTCTCAAGCTGCCTCTCAAAGCTACAGAGGAGTCCCTCCAAGGGGGTAAGCCACAGTTGGAACAGTGAAGCCGACCAAAGCCTGCATGGAGGGCTCCATGTAGGCCCAAAACTGATATCAAAGTCCTGTGACAGGCATTGCACATGAGAGAGACTGTATTGGTTAGATTATAAACTGTGAATCTAAAAAACTATTTGGCCGTCAGTGACGCTGCGTTGGTGTTTGGCAGGTGAGCCTCGTACGTGGGCTGATTAAACAGTGACGATCCGAGTCACACAAACACACTGAGCCATGAGACTTTTTTGTTCGTGCAGCTATGCAGCTACCAGAATTACGGTGTTTCTCACGTTGCTCTACGTCATTAAACCACGGTTATGCTGTGTGATCATGCGCAGTGGACGCAGTAGATGCTGGTGCCAACAGGAAGTAGCCCTGTAGTTGTATTTTATTGGTCCAAAATTGGCTTCACTGCTTTCCATTCAAATCAGCGGGGTGGCTTCAGCCAGTAATATACTGTCTATGAGTCCCTCCTCTGCAAAGGAAAAATAAGTCCATACAGCAGGTGTGTTGCAGGCACAAGTGAGATGATAAAAGATATTTTCCACAAAACATAATTCACGTAGTTTGAAGACATCAACAAATGTTTTATCCTTCATCATAATGAACATGAAAACAGTAGAAACTCTGCACCCAAATTACAAAGTAATCTACATGGAATGTACCCTTGTATGTATTTGATTGACCAGTGCACTGATCTGGGGCTGAAGTTAAGCCAAATTCAACATTTTGGCTGGACGGCTCTGCATTTTCTTACCAGTAGGGGTGTGACGAGATCTCGCAATATTAAAACGTGATATTTCTCCACAAGGTGAAAAGCTGTATCACAATATCAGCATGATGGAGTGTGAGGCTCAGTACACTTAATTTAGCTTGAGAATTCAGTTTAAAAGATTCATTTGTACATTTACTGAGTGCCTCTAATTGATTGGTAGTGTGGTATTTGCAGTTTATCTACTTTATTTCAGTGAGCTCTTGCTGCAAAGAAACTCCCACACACTGTCTAACTTGCATTATAGACCTTCATATAGACCTTCTTCATCAGGCAAATGTTTTGCTGAAGGTCTTGTACCGTAACGTTGTCAGTTTTTTGTTTTTGTTTTGCAAGTTAGACAGTGTGCGCAAGTTTATTTGCAACTTTTGACCTACTCATTCCCTCTGCTGCTCCTGTCTCACTTTATGGATGTGCAAGGTCATTTTCTGTTCTGTTTTAGTGAGCTCTTGCCATTTGGAACAGCCTATGTAAATGGTTTGCTGTGCAGTGCAACAGTAACATTTCCCTAGCATTATTCTCGAATCATATATATTATTATTCTCAAACATATTTTATGTTGTGTTCTGTTTACATCCATGTTTATCAGCTTGCAGTCACTGCCTTTGTTTGAGCCTTGCTGTGTTGTTTTTTGCATTACTGCCACCAACTGTCTATCAGTGGCAGGAATGTGTGTTGTGTTGCATGCGTTGTAAAAAGCCAACAACTTGAAAAAACATTGCTCCATAGCGGTAGTAGTGGTCAAAAACTCCACAAGACAACTTTAATCCGCTAAGTCGGTAAAAAGACAGTATGGGTCTTCAGTAATATGGATTTTAGTATTCAACCTATATTAAGTGTAAAACACAAAATGTACTTTACTTTTAGACATGAAAAGCGACTTCTAAATCCTGTACCAGTCTGACCCTGCTAATATAATGTTTTTTTGAGTGAAGACTTTTGGACCTTCCCGGTTTTCAGCTGTCTGTGTGTTTTCTCTTCAGAGGCTGCAGCTTCCCGAGCCCAGACAAGCAGGCATCCTTTAACGGACAGTTTCTAAACGGCAGTGCTGGGATGGCAGGGGAGGGAATGAGGAGCATTCACATTAAAGCCTATAGTGAGGTAATAGCAGGTAACACATGGAATGGATTCTAATGTGACATTTCTTCCTGTTTTCCGAAGTCTTTAAGAAAACCCCTACTATCCTACTATCATCAGTCCAGCAAGGCAAAACACTTCTATGTATCTCTGCATTTGTTGGTAACTGTTTCATTCATTCAGGATCAGAAGAATCAGAATCAGGATAATTGGCAATTAAATTTTCACATATAAGTAATATGCCAAGTACTGAAAAATTTAAGAAACGTAAATGAAAAATGAAAATGAAAGAGCTGTACAATTTGTGCAGGAATGAACGAATTGTTGGCCAAGGAATGTGCAAAAAATCACGTAGACTGCAGCCAATCACCTTCTCAGGAGAGCAAATGATGCACTGCAGCCTGCCTTGTCCTTGTCAGTGGCAGCAGTGTACCAGATGGTGATTGAGGAGGTAATGATGGTGGTGTAGAAGTGAACCATTATAGTCTTAGTCCTCTGCTGGTCTTTTCTGTTGAGGTAACTAATGTTCAGCTCCCACCCAGGAGGCAGAAATACTCTATAGATTCACACGCTGCCTTCTGTCAGACAGCAAGCCAGTGATCTACCTGCAGGTGGAGTTGGGTGCACTCAGCTGGGACAGTTGGTTCTGAAAATATAAATTTCTAAATGATCAGATACATGCCCTTTATGGCTAGACAGAGCATCCAGGGACAGTTGGTGGGTGAAAATGACAGCATTGTCCTGTCTCTGTGCTAACTATGTTTGTGGGGGCATGGCATTCTCATGGTGCAAATAACATTCCCAGTCTTCCCACACACACACTCAGACACAAGGCTCTGTGGAGTCCAGTCAGAAATAGTAACACACATAATGGAATTTAAAAGTTTTGAATTTGAATTTGGTCAACAAAAAAGAGAACATTTATATAATTTGTAGGCTTCACGGTGCTATTTTTGCAATAACATGGAGTCTAGAAAAGACAGGGACAGTCAAGATTAACATTGTGACATCAGTGAGCAGGAACGAAGCACTGGGAAACTCTCCAGCTAGTCATGGAAAGTCAGGGCAATGTTATGTAATTTTACTTCTTACTTAACATTACTGTGAGAAAACAATTTTAGTTAGGTAATAGGTTTAATCATATATAACCTTTACACAACAAACTGCATCAACAAGAATGAGCAGCACATGGCGTTATATCATTTTGGAGCAGAGGTCATAGTACTAAACCCAGGATGGGGTGTTTTCATTGCTCCTTAGCAGCCCCCGAGGCAGTACATCAGGTTTTTGTTTTCAGGTTTTAGTATTTTTCGTCGCTGTAGTAGCTTTCATGCTGGTGTGTGTAACACCTTGTCATCCTGCCAAGTCTATCTGAGTACCTTTTACGTAAGAGGCTGTGGAAACCTGAACAGCAGAATAAAGGAGAAACGGAGAAAAAGAGCAGTAGGAAAGAATGTCTAACATGTGACGACTGGGCTCAGCTGATTCTGTTTTCAACACAGTCTTTGATTCATTTCTGTTTTAAATAATGGCTCCTTTCAGCAGTGAAACGCCCCCTTTTCATGTGCTTCCAAATAATAAAGAGAAGATCTAAAGCTTGTTGAATGCAACTTATGTCAGTTATACAGCAACTATTTAAAGTTTGTTTACATTAACCATACAGTAAACTACTGGACATAGAAGACCCCAGTAAGTCTGTAGTAGTAAAACTCCTGGTTGTACTGAGTGAGTACTAAGTATACTTATGAAGTGAACTTTTGGTAACATTTTCTGTGAAGGTCATCGCTATAATGACTTCTGCAGACATTCATAAAACGATATAATTCAACCATAAGACACTATTACTACTGCTATACTCACTTATAGACATGCATTAGGTACTATAGCAAAGTTCATAATGCATTATGACCTTTTGATTTAATATTTAATAATGGTAATGCCAGTTTAAACCACTGTGGGCCAAGAATATCACAACAGGTTGTATGAAAATGACATAAACTAATTTTAAGACATTATAAGAGGGATTTGTTTGCTTTAAGTAAAGTGAGACTACTACTACTGTGACTCTGATCCATGACACTAAACTATTATGCTATACTACTACACATTACACTGTATTTTATTATACTGTAGTACATAAAATATACTACTTTATAATATACTATACTTTAGTATAATATTTCTATACTCTACTACCTATACTCTGCTTTGCTTTATTATCCTAATTATATTACACTATTACACTATTTTATACAATACTCTACTGTGCTGTCATGTTGCCTCATGTTGGGCCACAGTGGGAATGCTTCTCTTTGCTGGTGTGTTGTGTACTTTAGGACATTTCCACATGTGAAGACACTCTCCATTTGCACAGTCTGACTACAAGTACAAAGCATCAAGCTCTCATCTCCCCATCCGATCCTCTATCACTGGCTGGATACACAGAAGAAGTTATGGCTAACAACAACCACCTCAAGGTAAACGAGTGTAGTCTGACCCACTACTATTTGTTTCTAATCTCACACTGCAACTTTTGGGGGGAAAACTGCCCACACAGGTATCTGAATGCGTCTCTTTGATGTGTGTGTGTGTGTGTGTGTGTGTGTGTGTGTGTGTGTGTGTAGTTACCCATCCCAGAGGTGAATGAGGAGAGGTGCTGGGAAACGGAGAAGACTGGGCAGAGCCCACCAGGACAGCCAGCCAACAATAGGACACGCTCCAATTCCACCAGTGTGTATCATAAAGTTTTCACTCAATTGTAAAATTACCAATTATCTAGCATTCACCCAGAGGAGCAATTCTACTGCATTTCACTTTGCATGCAAGTGGGTCAGATTTGGGTAGAACACTTCACAAACAGGAGGAGGCTGCTGCACTGTTCAGGGCTGCTTTTAGAGTGTGTAGTAATGGCAGATGATGAAAGGAGAGGATGATGGGAAAATTGTTTCTAATATGTTTATTGTCTTCGGGGAGGTGTGAGGCCAGGGAGTAATATCCATTTAGCACTGGGAAGCCACACTGCTTATAGGAAATGTGGTCCTAATTGCGAGAAATGCTGCGCTTACAATTCAGTTGCTGTGAGGCTGAAGTGATTGTAGACTGAACAGATTGTAGCTGGTACTGTATATCTGTAACGAATGAACAGCTTGTTTGACTAAGACATATACTTCCAGTGATCAGGAAAGTACAACCCCCTGTAATAGTCCAATCCAATACCTACTTCACTTTTAATGGCAACACAAAAGTCTGTAGAGTTTCTGTTAAGTGCACCATGGACAAAAACATGCGCTACATAGAGTCAGCAGCACAACATATGGACAGACATAACATATCACTGATAGTCACAGTAGTCCTAGGTGGACAATGAACAGATCCATATAGCACAATGCAAAATGCTAGGATTGTTTCCAAGCTGCAGTACCAGACACATTTTATTATTAGAAATTAAATATATTAACATTAGATATGAAAACGGGTGGCACGGTAGTCTGGTGGATTGCACTGTGGCCTCACAGCAAGATGGTTGCGTGTTCAAACCCCGGTTGTCCTTAGGTGTGAGTGTGACTGGTTGTTTGTCTATGTGTGACCCTGCGATGGATTGGCAACCTGTCCAGGGTGTACCCCGCCTTTCACCCGATGTCAGCTGCTGCGACCCTGTACGCAGGATAAGCATGGATGGATGATATGAAAACTCTTTTGAATATAACAATTTACCACAGAACTGAGTCGTTGCAGCATGAACTGAATATCTTTTACTGCTACAGTATTGCATTAGTACATAGTAGTGCAGTGTCTATTTTGCTGGTCACTCTGTGCTTGATACTTGATATCATGGGTTTTACCATCTCCTGTTGGTTATGGATGTTTTTCTACCATGTAATTTTGAGGTTAATTAATTTTAGCCTGATGTTCATTATCTGATGATACTGTGTATATCAGCAGGTGTTCATCCTTACTGGATTGGGGATCTGGACAGCATCATTATGAAGACTCCAGGGCTGTATACAAGTCATCCTCAGGGGAATGGTGGTTTATACGGAAACAGGAAGTCTCTGTCCCAGCAGCTGGAGCTTCCTCACACCACCACACAAGTATTTGATTTATCTGAGTTTAAAAACAATAAAAATGACACCTGGTGACAACACACGTCCATTCTAGTGTATACAACTACATTTGACAAGTAAGAGCTGATTTATTCTCTGCTGGAATTCTGTAGTGTAACTCCCTCTCTACACCAGACTTTTCACACACCTGCTAATCCAACAGTGTTTTGTTCATTGTGATATGGTCAGAACAGACTTGATTCTAATTGCTAACTAACAGTGTTAGTTTAGGTAAAACACAAAGAAAAACTAGAGTCTTTGACCTGAAAAACAATGTATCCTTTTCAGTTGTTCAGTGAGGAAACCCATGATCTGCCTATCTGCCCGAAGCACAGCCTGGCTTTTTGCATTTTATCGATGAAAACAAATGATAGAACATGAATCATTGACAGTGGTTGACAACAGCAGAGGACAGGGGTTGTATTAGCATTTTAAAAGTAACATTTATTTTAAAAGGTAAGGCCAATTAATACTTTTAAAAGTCCCACTAAATATTTCTGCTAGTAGTTTGATCATTTACTTACTGGTACTAAAGGGGTCAATCAAATTGTGACATAATTCCCTGCTGTGTGTGTGTGTGTGTGTGTGTGTGTGGGTGTGTGGGTGGGTGTTACATGCACCTCCTCTACAGCCTGTGCACCGTCCCTCACGCTCTCTCAGCTCTGCCCAGCTGGTACACTCCTGCAGCAACATGCAAGCCTTCATAATCTGTAATATTGTGCTAATGAAAGGCCATGGCAAGGTAGGAACCATACACCACCACCAACACTGTCACTATATTCTGGTTTGACAAAATAATTTTAACTCAAGGTCCACTTGCTAGTGGACTGCACCTCAAGGCTTTCATCAGCAAATGGAGTTTGCAGAGTATCTTGAACAACATGCTTAGTACGAGTCTGAGCAAACTCCGTCAGCTTCTACTCTTGCATAAACTACCTTATCCCGGTCAAGAATGAACTCTGACACTCAACTAGTATTCTGGTCTTAGTTTACTTCTCTTATCTATATAAACTACACACTGGCATTTGCCAAAACGTTAAACTGTTCCTTTAATTATGATTGTATTTAACGGTGTTAATCAGTGTTATTTATAATAATTCTGTTGCTGTTCCTAGGGTCTGGGCTTCAGTATAGTGGGAGGGAGAGACAGCATGTATGGACCAATGGGGATCTATGTCAAGACCATTTTCCCTGGAGGGGCGGCAGCTGCTGATGGAAGGCTGCAAGAGGGTGAGGGACATCATAAGGTCCATGAGCTCATACACACATGCAATTTATGACTAATTACTGAAAGACACTTATTTTCAGTTGATAAGAGATTTTAATTTTGCTGTGGCTCTGAGTAATTGAAGAATAAAGGATTAAAGCTGGTGGGCGGCTGTAGATCAGGAGGGTACAGCAGGGTTGTCCACTAAATAGAAGGTCAGTGGTTCGATCCCCGGCTCCCCCAGTCTGCATGTCTAAGGGTCCTTGCTGTGGCTGTGCCATCGAGCCTGTCTGGTGCCATCAGTGAATGTGTATGAATGTTATTTCCATTGATGTGCAGTTGGCACCTTAGCCTCTGTCATCAGTTTGTGAATGTGATGTAGTGTTGTCACAAAGACTAGAAAATCCACAGACATTTACCATTTGAAGAGCATGTGGTTAAGGAACTTGAAAATATTTGAACTGTCGGTTGAGTAAGAGATTTTGTCAACTGTTACTAAGCAACATATTTGAAATTAGGTTTTCATTAGGTTGTATAGAGTGTAAATGGGTTTTCCATTCATCATATCGGATTTCTACATTGTGTCAGTTGATATGTTGATATGTGTCTTCTGTTTCTGTCTCTGCATAGGTGATGAGATCCTGGAGCTGAATGGAGAGTCACTACACGGTCTGACTCATGATGAAGCTCTGCACAGCTTCAAAGTAAGGCACCTACAGTACCTTACGATCCTAACAGTATTCCTCCCAGTTAAGGGTTTTTCTGTGATAAAAATGAAGCTGAGGTGGTAACAGACCCATGACCCACTAATACCGATTGATTTAAAAAATGTGAGCAAAAAAAATACTTGGCTACTCTGACTAACTTACTGGAAGACTCTGACAACTTTCACCTGAAAGGTAGGACCCCAGAAATATCAGAATCAGAATCAGAATCAGCTTTTATTGCCAGGTATGTGTACACATACGAGGAAATTGACTCTGGATTGTACATTGCTCACGATGTGCTTACTCATACAAAAATACAAAATCATAATAATAAAAATCAAATCAAATCAGACACAGACTTCAGTGTAGACAACACAAATATACACACTATGAACAATACAACAATATAGACATATTGACAAATAGTGCAGTGAGCAGAGTGCAAAGGATGCAGGAGTGTGTACATGTCGGAGGTGGATGTGATGTACAGGTACATATACATGCATACATGTACACATGTACACAGTGCAATGAAGCATAGTGCAAAGGATGCTGGAATAAATAAGTAAGTATTATGTGCAGGTGTTATGAAGTTGAGATAGGTAGATTAGGTATACAGTATCTACAATATAACAGTATGAAGAGCTCTGAAATAGAGAATGGTGAATAAATAATAAGTGTTAGCCAGTAAACAGGTGGCTGATTAGAGACAGAGTTACTGGGTTATTGCACAGGAATTGTTCCTGACACTGTAAGTCAGAAATCAGCTGTTCATCAGAGTGATGGCTTTTGGGAAGAAACTGTTCCTGAGTCTGTTGGTTTTGGCGTACAGTGCTCTGTAGCGCCTACCAGAGGGGAGAAGCTGGAACAGGTTGTGTCCGGGGTGAGATGGATCTGCAGTGATGTTTCCTGGCCGTTTCCTGACTCTAGAAATGTATAAGTCCTGAATGGAGGGCAGGTTGGCACCGATGATCTTTTCTGCAGTCCTGACTGTCCGTTGTAGTCTGCTCCTGTCCTTTTTGGTGGCAGATCCAAACCAGACAGTGATGGACGTGCAGAGGACAGACTGAATGATGGTTGTGTAGAACTGGTTCAGCAGGTCCTTAGGCAGGTTGAGCTTCCTGAGCTGGCGCAGGAAGTACATCCTCTGCTGGGCTCCTCCTGAAGTCCATGATCATCTCCACAGTTTTGAGCGTGTTAAGCTCCAGGTTGTTCTGACCTCACCAGAGAGTCAGCTGATCAACCTCCCGTCTGTAGGCCGACTCATCACCGTCCCAGATGAGGCTGATGACTGTTGTGTCGTCAGCGAACTTCAGGAGTTTGACAGATGGGTCTCCTGAGGTGCAGACGTTGGTGTAGAGGGAGAAGAGCAGTGGGGAGAGCACACACCCCTGGGGGGCGCCAGTGCTAATAGGCCGGGTGCTGGATGTGATGTTCCCCAGCGGAGGATTCTATTCTATAGTCTAAAGCTGACTGCATCATCCACTGACCTGTTAGTCAAAGCAGGCCTGTTTCAGTTTTTGCCTGTATGTTGGGATAAGATGAACCAGGCAGTGATCAGAGAGTCCCAAGGCTGCACGGGGAACAGAGCGATAGGCGTCCTTTAACGTAGTGTAGCAGTGGTCCAGTGTGTGTGTCCCTGATATAGAAGCCCCAATGAAAGGGGAGACATAAAACAGGCAGTAGTTGAACTTTTTTAGTTCAATATAATATGAGAGATTTTACCGTTATATTTGTAAATGTAAATGGTTTTGCAGTTTTTGTACAGTTAGAAACAGTTTTGATTCAGTTCAAAGGGGCTTTATCGGCATGGAAACAGAGACGTTTACACTGCCAAACAAGTCTGAAACAAAAACAACGTAAATAAAGTGAAGAATGATATTCACTCAGTATTCTTATTTTTGTGATGGTATTTTGTAATTGGATGGTCATTATTTCTTCTTGAGTATATATTTTTATAAAATAAATGGAATGAGTATACTGTTACATCCCCAAACCAATTGCCAGAAGTAACCATTGTTGAATGTACACATGCATGAATCTCCAAACATGCATGTGGATAACAGAAAGTCGCAGTATTTGTATATACTACACAAAACAATATATCCAGCCCTGGCCCTCAGATATGATTTTAGCCAGCCAACATTTCTATATGCATGTAGCATTGGTTTGAAATATGAAATGTCTTTTAAAATGTCTTTGTGCAGCAAATCAAAAAGGGCCTGCTGACTCTGGTGGTGAGAACCAGCCTGCGTGTGGGGGCACTGTGTGGGCAGTTACAGGTAGCTCAGCTATGCAGGTCACGTTCCCTCAGCTCCACTACAGCCATGGCCAGGGTCAGTGCTGACATGGGAGACTACAACTACCTGAACAACACCTGCAGTAACACACGGAGCGTCCCTGGCCGACCTGCTAAACCCAGAGACCGCATCATGATGGAGATCATCCTGCAAAAAGGTCAGCCTCAGGGGACGGTTTAGACACTGTAGTTATTGATTTAAACAATCATTGAAAAATGTTTTTATAATTTAAAATACCAAACGTTTCTCTAATGGAACAGTGGCTTTCTTTTCTGAGTTTCTCCCGTTTATAAACACAATACTCAGTTGTTTATTACAATTTTCTGTACCATCAACAAAATATGCTATTTGAAAGGGTTACTCCAGCAATAAATTTTGCATTGCATCACACGGGGGGATTCACAAGAGAGAAAAAGATTCCCCACAAACTGACATTTTTACCTTGTAAATGATTGATCAGTCAATAATGAAAGCATTTGTTAGGTGCCGCTCTAAAAGAAAATTGGTACCTGATTTCTATTTCTCTACTGTGTGTATATTGGGGTGTAAATACTCCTTATGTGTTTCCCAGAGGCTGGTGTTGGTCTGGGTATTGGACTGTGCTGTGTTCCATCTGGTGACGGATGCCCTTCGATCTACATCCACACCCTCTCTCCTGGATCTGTAGCACACATGGATGGTAGACTACAGTAAGGAGAAATTACTACAGGGTTGGAAAGAGTACTAAATGTAACTACAGTAATCAGTTAGTACTGTAAAGGAGTACAATTAAGTTAGTTACTAAAAAGAACAGATTCTGTTTGGTACAGCATGTAATAGGATATAAGGTTAAAAGCACAGTGTGTTACATCATTGTTCAGTTTTCAGTGATTAAAGTGCCTCCCATACAAAGCCATTCAGAGGTCAGAGGTCAGAGGACTTCTGAGGAGTGAAGTCCATCTGAATGACATTATCAGATTTTTTCAATTTTGTTACATTAAGTTACACTATGCATTTAATACAAATATATTTCAGAAAATATGATGATTAGAATATAAAATATAAAATATGTTGTTTTATTTTAATGGATCCTTGGTCCTTATACACTGTTAGTGTGCATACTCTTGAACACACTTGAAGTGTTTCTTTTTTCTTTTTTCCAACACCTTCCCAAACTTCCCCTCCTTTAGATGTGGGGATGAGATCATGGAGATCAACGACACTGTGGTTTACAATATGGCGCTGAATGACGTCTATACAGTCCTGAGCCGATGCACACCAGGTCCAGTCCACATCATCATCAGTCGACACCCTGACCCCAAAGTATGTAACACCTCCACCTCATTTACTTTACCCAGTGCAGATTTATGGGTTTACAAGCAAAGCCTCTGCTGGCTCAGTGTTATTGTTGCTTCATGGGTTTAACTGTGGGCCTCTGTACTGTTCACATGGACTCCCTCTGGCTTTCAACTTAGTGTTCTGGCTTCCTACCTCAGTCCAAACTCCTTGGACTGGAGAATCTAACTTGCCTTTGTGTAAATGTGAGGAGGCCTGTGTGTGTGTGCATGTGACACTGGTGACTGTTTTTTCAGAAAATGTTTCTGGGACTTTCTCCCAGTACATACATACTACATACATACTGGAATAAGTTCTCACCCTCTTGTAAAGCATCATTGTATTGCACCAAACGTCATGAATGAAAAACATAGCAGTCCAGTGTACATGGATAAATGCACAATATTAAACCACTTGCAATCAAATAGACTGCTGTTGTTAACATACTTGCCTTGGTCCAGGTTTACTTCATTATTTCGATATATTTAATTTTTCTTGTAACATTACCCTGGTATAGTGCTTGCCAAATGTTACAGAATGGACATTCTGTACTCTAGGCCTTTATTTCTATATATTTACTTTAACTTCTTGTCTTTCTTCAATTGGAAAAATTAAAAGTAGGAATTTTCAAAAATTATTAGAATTTTTTGTTTTTTCTCGTTCGGATTTAGATTTTTGATTTGAGGAGAGAGGAAGCTTGCGTGGAAGCACCAGTGTATCCTTTGTGAAAGTCTTTTTGGCAGCTGTGACGTGTGAAAGAGGCTTGACACACACAGCTGGAATTTACAGCCCATGGCAGGAGCAGGACTCTACAGTGTTCCTTTTGTATTCAGAAATTGTATTAGTTATTTAAGATTATGAAATGCGAAATCAAATTTTCTGCCCTTCACTGTTTGTGTAGCGCCTCGTAGGCACTGTTTTAACCACATTCCTTGAGGACATTTCTCCTTGATATTACTGATGTTTTATAGTTGAATGTAGGCTACACCCAATACAACTGCTCTAATCGTGACATGTTTAAAAGTGCCATCAGCTGCTAATGTAAATTATAACAAGAACATTCTCTTGTATTTGGCACTGATTTGATGTATTTCATGTTGTCATATGGTGACCATTATGTAGTATAATAATAATAATAATAATAATAATCTTTATTTGTAGAGCACTTTTCAAAAACAAGTTACAAAGTGCTTTAACAAGTGTAAAGACAATAAAATACCCACAAGACAATAATACAAATACAATACAAGATAAAAGCAAGAAAACATTGAAAAGACTAAAATACACATTTAAGATAAATATAAAATAAGTAAAATAGAATAAAATAAAAGGGATAAAATAAAGTCAAATAAGATCCTATAAAAGTATGTTTTAAGAAGGGACTTAAAAGAGTTGTGAAAAGGCTGTTGCAATAATCCAGGCGTGATGAGATGAAGGCGTGTAAAATGGTCTCGGTGTCCTTAAAAGTTAACATAGATCGAATTTTTGCTATATTTCTAAGTTGATAAAAACATGATTGAACAAGCTTTGTGGTGTGCTGCTCGAAATTTAAATTACTATCAAACCAAACACCAAGGTTAATGTGATTTACTAGGGAACCAGCAGATGGCAGTATTTGTTTTGCCATGTGCTGGGATCCGATGACCAGGATTTCTGTTTTGTCTGAGTTCAGCTGGAGGAAATTATTTGACATCCATTTTTTAACTTCACAAAGGCAGTCGGTAAGTGAACTCAGCATTCCAGGGTCTGTGGATCTGATTGGCAAGTACATTTGTGTGTCATCAGCATAAATATGAAAAGAAATACCATGTTTATGGATAATATGTCCAAGGGGAAGCAGATACAAGGAAAACAAAATGGGTCCTAAGACCGACCCCTGAGGCACACCATATTTAACTGGACAGAACGAAGAGACATAGTTGTTTACAGACATGCAAAACTTCCTATTTGACAGGTAGGATGAAAACCATTCTAGGGCAGTACCAGAGATCCCCACCCAGTGCCTCAGTCTGTCTAACATGATGTTGTGATCAATGGTGTCAAAAGCAGCGCTAAGGTCCAGGAGTACCAGGACTGAGCACATACCTTCATCAGCAGACATTAAAAGGTCATTGGTGACTTTAAGCAGGGCAGTCTCAGTGCTGTGGTACTTCCTGAAACCAGACTATAACTTTTCAAATAATTTGTTATTTTTCAGTACAGTAAGCAGCTGTTTGGACACAATTCTTTCTAGAATCTTTGCAATAAAAGGTAGTTTTGAAATTGGTCAAAAATTATGTGGGAGGGAGGGATCTACATCAGGTTTCTTTAAAAGTGGGTTCACACAAGCCGTTTAAAAATAATCAGGGACACAACCCGTAGATAGGGAGCTGTTAAAAACAGAGATCAAATGGGGTCCAACAGAATCTATTACTTTCAGTAAGAACTTTGTAGGTATTACATCAAGTGAGCTGGAGGACACTCTCATTTGTGATACTGTTTTTAAAAGCTCAGACAAGTCGATGGGATAAAACTGGTTGAAACTCTCTTGTTGCTGGTGAGGAACCTGTGAGTAAGAGGCCGTGGGGGTAATAGAGGCTCTGTTGACACCACCTTATTGGTAAAATAAGATAAAAACATTTTACAGTCATCATTACTTCTGAGGTACAAGGAGGGGTTGGGTTTACCAGCTGATCCACAGTCTTAAACAGAAACCTGGGATTGTGTTTATCTGTAGTAATGAGTTTAGAAAAATAGTGTGAAGTGAAGAAATAGTGTGAAGGTCTCACATACTAAAATATAAAAATAGATCACAAGTATATAGTTAAATCTCAGCAATTTCCTAAAGCCAGCTGACAACTGTAGTTTTTAGTAAACACTACTCAAACAGAAGCAAATAGCAGCTTTTCTGTCAAAATAAACTACAGTGTGTGTTCATGGTGATATGGGAACAGTGTTGCTCATTGATGTGCTTTTAATCATTTGTGACGTACACAATGCTTGTTAGTAGGAACACTGATGTTTTTTTCATTGGATTGTTTATAATACGCAAAGTATAGAATAACATCAACCTTATCAAACTTTTTTGATTACCTCAAGAATTTTAATTACTGGATGGCAAAATACTCCCCCAGCTTAACAGGAGTGTGTAAGGTGTCATCATTTCAAGCAACTTTCCTCAAACATTGTTACTGAAATGTCTACGTCTATTCTGCTATGTTAGCAGTAGCTTGCAGTCTTGGGTTTTAAGGTTAAATTTAAATATTTTCATAAATCTGAGGACCGTTTTTATACTTTTTAACCCTTTAAAATGTTTGTGAGTTGCCCTGAATATCAATAGTTTTCATCATTGTGACTTACACGTCCCAAATGAGTTTCTGCACTCTGTGTGTTGCAGGTATCAGAGCAGCAGCTGAATGATGCTATCGCTCAGGCAGTGGAAAACAGCAAACTGAAAAAGGATAAGAGCCAGTGGAGTATTGAGGGTGAAATATTTATTTGTTCATTATTAATTTTCACGCAGTCACATATTCTTGTTCAGAGTTTGGGGTTAGGTTGATCTGGAACTTAGCAGTACTTTTTCACGGAACATGTAAATGCCCACTTCTTCCCAGTTTGTAATCCAGGCTCATAAATTTGAGGTTATAAAAAGGTTATTCATTTGTAAATCTGTCTCCAAGCTCAATCCAAGATAACCTTAATGGCATCATCAGCGTTATTTTCTTAGACTTTAGAAAGTACAACTACTAATGACCCATAATGAGTGAACTGGTCTTCATGTGTAAAATCGTCATCATGGAGTGCCCATTTAAGTTTAAAAAAGGTTCCCATAGAAATCAATTGTACCCATGTCTCCATGATTATATACAGTACAAATTCCATTCATATTTCAAAGTTCATGGCATATACATCATCATGCCTTACACAGTGCTTAAATTGTAGGCTACTTGAGTTATGTGCTGTGATTCATGCCTATGTAACAGTGTTACAACTTGTGATGAGTCTGACTGGTTAAAAAGAGTTGATTCATCTCCAACTTTGACTTGCTGCGGGCCTATTGTGTACTGCGGTCAAGTGAGCCGAAATTAATTTAGCCTAAATTAATAAGCCACCTAAATTTGGAGTGCACACGTTTTTAAGCCTTTATGAAATGCAGGGCTAGTGACTTTATTCTGTCATTTTCTGACATTACTAGCATACACATTGGACAACGTCCGGTTATCAAAATAAGGTCCTCACACAACGAATAAAATTAATTGGATTATATTTACAGGAAGTATAGCACATGTTACATCTGTCTAAAAGGCTAGGGAAATTACGATATTCTTAGATTTTGGGTTGCTGGAAAACATTTATAAATTTCCTAATTGGAAATTACTTATGTTTGTTGATAAAATATTAAATAAATAATTCCTGGGAACGACTCACACATTTGAGTTCAGGCTACATAAAGCTTTGCCAAATATTGTCACAGCTCGTTATGCCAATGGGCATCAGGCACAGGTAGAAAAAGTCTAATTTCTCAAAAATTAAAGCATCTTGAAAAGTGAAAACAGTGATTTATATGTTATTATATTGATAATGACTATTTTAGGCTTATACAGACCTGTTTTGTGAACAGATTGCACGTAAACACCATGTACAGACTCTCGTGGTGAAAACACTATTTAAATTAACACTGGTCCGTTAATTATAAATATGTAGCCTTTAGGCTATATAGATTATGTTAAATAGGCCTATGTAAGCATATGGTGTATGGTCTGAGTGGCCGCTTCTGTTAGTCTTGTTCCTGCATAACGAGGATCGAGTAGTAGTGTTATTGCCATGACAACAGACCCACAGCAGTGAAGTCAAAGGTCGAGATAAATCAATTCTTTTTAACAGTCAGACTCATCACAAGTTGTAACACTACGTATAGCCTTCAACGTTCAGCCAAAGTAACAGATTAAGTAAATGAATCATTACATAGGCATGAATCACAGCACTCTATAATAACTCCAGTGTTCGAGTCAATTGACAATTTAATTAAAATAATGAGGTATACTAATAATAGTAAGTAATAATATGGTTATGTGGCAGAAATATGATAATTATGAATTATGTTCAATACGTAGGCTGTTGTTGGATGTTATTTGATTATTTATTAAGTTTAGCTGTTTCCGGTTTCAGACTTTTCTTGTTAAATTTTCATTGAACAAGTTGGATAATGGAACAAGCTTCAACGTCTTCATTCAATGCAACAATAACACAGCACAGTGCTAACACTGTTTAGGCAGCATCGGCTCTGGAAAAATTTACTCACATGGGTCATACATTAGCGCAAGTAGGACAATGAAATTAGGTAATACTCCCTGAGAGTCAAATATAATGGATTTGACTCTATCCAAAGTATAATTAACTATAAAAATGAATTCTTCTCAGTTTTCTGTGTTACATTATGATTTTATAATATTTTTAGAATAATTCTTTCATTTATTTTTCTGCCCCATGCAGGGCTGCGTAGACTGGAGTCTTGCTCTCACAGTCGGCAGAGATGTGAGTATTGTCTGGAGAAGAGTTTTAGTCAGCTGATGGTTCGACGAGCACAGAAGACCATGAGCCGCTCCTGCAGCGACAACACCAACAGCCCCCAACACAACCACTGCCTCACCATCCACAACCACCACAACCACCACAACACACAGCATAACCCATCAGGCCGTGTGCACAGTCTAGACACACCCAAGGTAAACCAATATGCTGTAGGTTGGTATGGAGAGGAAGTAAAACGTTCCCAAATAAAGTTCTGGGATCAGTAGGCTATTTAGAGAGTTTACTACTACTACTACTACTACGTGTGTGCATTTCCAAATATCTTGCATATTCTTTGTAATTTTCTATGTATTGCTTTTTTCAGTGTGTCCAAGTAAGTAAAAAGTGTGTCTCATTTAATCCTTGTTGTGTAGTCTATGACAGAGACATGGTCTGACAACAGACTGTCCGTGCCTGTGTATCCTGATGAAGACTACAATGTCCCTTACAATTCTGCTGCTGTAAACATGTCCAGTCACCAGAACCTGGATTTGGCCTTCAGGGGCAGCAAGGTACACAATCTATCCAACCATTCATCCATCCACCTTCCTTCCTTCCTCTGTAACCTTGGTGTTTGTGTGGTGAGGCATAAGCAGTAGATGAGAACATATCCATTTTAATAAAATGTACAAAAACATAAAAAAAATATATTTTATATTCAGCCAGGAAACTACAATAGCTTCTTGAGACCCACAAAAAAATATATTTTTCCTACATTTTTGAAGCGTTTGAGATGAAGTCCATCCATTCTCTGCACCCACATATCCTGTTCTATTGTCTATTGGGCAAATGGGTACATCAGAGATAAGTTGCCAATATATCACAGGTCTCCTACAGTAATTAACTACTTATGAAGAAAAGAACTGCAGACTGTATTTCGAGGAAGAGTTTAGAGCCAATATATATAAATAATAATAAGCTTTACAAAAGGATATAAAACCAGACAAGGCAGATAAAAGAAGAATAAGAACAAAGTACATAAGTGAAAATGAAGTAAAGATGAATAATGAATAAGATCAAATAAACAAGAATAAAAACACTATTAATAAAAAATATATCAAACATTGCTAAAAAGCTTTCACAAAGAGAAAGAGAAAATGTTAAAGGAAGCAGACTCAGTGTGTCTGAGTTCCATAGTGTGGGCGTACTGGGAGTGACCAGCAGGAGGATGGAGCATCAGCACATCTCAATGGCTGAGAGGGCACATATCAGGTCATACAACTTTTTATAAATCAGTATTGATAAAAAAAAGTACCTACTTTAACAGAACGCTGGACTTATGTCTGTCATCAAAACATGGGTTAGTATCAAATATTACTCCAAGTTTCCCATCAGCCTGCTTAATGTTATTTGACAGACCGCAAAAATCAGCACCAAAAAAAGCTGATGGAATTTGGGGGAATGAACAGAATGACCTCAGACTTATTGTTAAATTTAAGGACTTTTTGGGACAAATAGGATTTAATAGCGGAGCCAGGTTGTGAGATCGGTTTATACACTCGCCTAAAGGATTATTAAGAACACCATACTAATACTGTGTTTGACCCCCTTTCGCCTTCAGAACTGCCTTAATTCTACGTGGCATTGATTCAACAAGGTGCTGAAAGCATTCTTTAGAAATGTTGGCCCATATTGATAGGATAGCATCTTGCACGAAGCTCCCGTTCCACCACATCCCAAAGATGCTCTATTGGGTTGAGATCTGGTGACTGTGGGGGCCATTTTAGTACAGTGAACTCATTGTCATGTTCAAGAAACCAATTTGAAATGATTGGAGCTTTGTGACATGGTGCATTATCCTGCTGGAAGTAGCCATCAGAGGATGGGTACATGGTGGCCATAAAGGGATGGACATGGTCAGAAACAATGCTCAGGTAGGCCGTGGCATTTAAACCATGCCCAATTGGCACTAAGGGGCCTAAAGTGTGCCAAGAAAACATCCCCCACACCATTACACCACCACCACCAGCCTGCACAGTGGTAACAAGGCACGATGGATCCATGTTCTCATTCTGTTTATGCCAAATTCTGACTCGTTCTGAAATCGAAACTCATCAGACCAGGCAACATTTTTCTTCACAAATGCTTTGCTGCATACCTCGGTTGTAACGAGTGGTTATTTCAGTCAAAGTTGCTCTTCTATCAGCTTGAATCAGTCGGCCCATTCTCCTCTGACCTCTAGCATCAACGAGGCATTTTCGCCCACAGGACTGCCGCATACTGGATGTTTTTCCCTTTTCACACCATTCTTTGTCAACCCTAGAAATGGTTGTGCGTGAAAATCCCAGTAACTGAGCAGATTGTGAAATACTCAGACCGGCCCGTCTGGCACCAACAACCATGCCACGCTCAAAATTGCTTAAATCACCTTTCTTTCCCATTCTGACATTCAGTTTGGAGTTCAGGAGATTGTCTTGACCACCCCTAAATGCATTGAAGCAACTGCCATGTGATTGGTTGATTAGATAATTGCATTAATGAGAAATTGAACAGGTGTTCCTAATAATCCTTTAGGTGAGTGTATATATAGAAGCAGTAGGAGCAGTGCAGCTGTGGGGGTAGAGTGAGAGTAAGTATGCAGGGTTTGTGGTGTCAACAGTCAACCACGTGGAGCAGACTGCACAGCGTGCTGGATGTTATGCCGCGTTCCAGACCAGTCGGAACTGGGGGACTTCCTAGTTGAAATATCCAACTTCCAACCTCAAAGCGTTTCAGGTGCATGGTGGTGCATGACGCTAAATGTAAACAATAAACAGGGCTGACTGTGACAAACTTATGTTTATTTGGTAAGTTTATGCACAGTTGAACCATCAGCAGTTCAATTATTAATTAAAAGGATGGCCATTTTATTAAAAACAAGTGATAAATATATGTTACTCATTAACTGGGTATCCTTCTAGCTACATCAGTTGGTAATCCTCAAAAGTCAGCTAAAGTTGTAGTAGGCTATATTTCCAAATGTTTTCACATTTCTGGGCATTTTTAACATTTTCCTGAATAACTTTTGAGTAGAGAAGTAACAGAGATTGCTGTAACCGCTACCTAATAACAATGACAACATTTTTCTACATCAAATTACATGCAGAACAAGTTTCACTATTTGATACTAGCATGTATTATTTTAATTTAATACTTTACTTTGCCTTTTACTTAATGGTTTACCATTTACAATGTGTGCTTCCGTGGGAGCTGCCATTGCTGTGTGATGTCGTTCGGCTGCTACTCGTGAAGTCGGGGTAAATATTTCTCAAGTAGAAAATCTGACTTCAAGTGGCATTCCATCGTACTTTGTCTAGTTGGAGGTCGGAAATTTCCCATTTCCCAGTTGCCTGGCAAGCAGTAATATGCTGGGTTCCAGGCAGCTGGAACTGGACTAGATGGTGGAATCAGTGCATATGGCTGGAAACAAACACACCATGTTCAGAGACACTTAAAGCACCATTTTGTCTCCATCATCATTTGACCAAATAGTAAATACAAGTTTTAGATAATGTCTTGCTCCTCACTGTTTCAAGCTTTAATACAGCTGTGTGTGTGTAGTCCACCTACAGGGTGCGTGCTGCTCCACATCGGTACTGCTGGCCTCAGGATGTGGCCAGTGAGGAGGGTTATAATGGAGACTCCAGCGGCTCCAGTAGAGGATCCCCAGTTAGAGATGAAGGACTGGAGCCCTCATCATACACCAGCTGCCAGGTACATAAATATAAATACAGCTGCTGAACAGCAGATGGAATGGTTAGTTAAAGAAGCTGTAAAAAGGGTTCAGTTCTTTTGACTTGACCTTTGACTAAATGCTCTTGCCGAACACATTCTGCACATCAGGAGAGGGCGGGGGACTGCTACCTGCTCACTGCACATTCTCAATGTACTGATTCTGCTTGTACAAATATTTCCTCCATTGTATTAATCCTGCTTCTTCTGAAAATATATAACTCACTCATCTCATTCCGGGAGGCACTGTGGCCTCACAGCAAGAAGGTTGCAGGTTCAAACCCCGGTCGTCCCGACCTTTCTGTGTGGCACACATTCCTCCAGGTGCTCCGGTTTCCCCCACCATCAAAAACATGTTGGGTTCTCCAGTCAGTGCCGTTGACTAGACACTACTACATACATCTGGAGTTGGTCCCCGGGCGCTGCACAGTGGCTGCCCACTGCTCCCTTGAGGGATGGGTTAAATGCAGAGAATGAATTTCACAACATGTATTTGACAATAAAAGGCTTCTTCTTCTTCTTCTTCTTCTTCTTCTTCTTCTTCTTCCGCTCCCTGCAGTTCTTCAGCAACATATACAAGGCCTTGCGAAAGATCCTGAGGTTACTCTTAAGGAATGTATGTCAAGTGATGTGGCTTTCAGTGTTTTTCACTAATGCATGCTGAACACTTCTGGCTTTTTAGGACTTAGTTAAACATAAAGCTGTCAGCGTAGTCATACACATTACAGAGAATGGAACAATTGCTTTAATTACATTATTTTGTACAGTGTTTAATTGCTGTACTCTTCTAGATTTATCTGACTTTGCAATAAAGCACGTAACAAAAGCAAGTTAAAAGCCATTTGGACAGCAGATGTTGTTCTCATGAATGACTTATAATTGAGCTATATATCATTAGTAAGTGCTTTATTAACATTAATGGCCATTAGTTGCAGCTTCCTTTAAAAGGAACCCCTAATAGAAAGTACAGTTAAACCAAAACATGAGGAGTACTGCAGACAGTACTAAATTGTTTTTGAATAAAACATTCAACAATTACACATTGTTTTACAACCCTATCACTAGATAATTACATTGTATTGGATGATTCTGCTAAACCTGGGATTACGTTCACTGATGTTTTTTAACATTTATTGCCAAGCTTTCTACAATTCCCTCTTTCTACAATCTGTGCATGATAACTTTTTTTAAAGGCAACAATTGCCGGTCTGTGACAAACTCTGGTCTCCTTTCATTCCAGACAGGATGCTTCTCTCTGTGTAAATGGCCTTAACAAATTTAGGTGTTAGAATAAAGGAGGCCCTGATCAAACAGGTAGCTGTTGAAATGTGAGGTGTCTTTTTCCAGTTGTTTTCTATAGACAGTAAGAGTTTTGAGTGCTGTTCATGGAACCGGAGCACTATGCATGGTTTCACACGTGTGTGTTCAGATGTGTGTCAGCATGCAAACAGTGCATGTCATGTGCTCGTATGCAGGGGTTAAATTGGGCCAGAGCCCACTGCAGATGAGCTCCGCCTCCTGACATCCAAATGTCCTGTGAAGTGATACATTTTGAAATATATGACAACTGTTGACAGTGTGGTCTGTGGAGACCACCTCACCCCACATCATTGGACAAGGGCTCCCTCTCCTCACAAATCTCAATTTAACCCCTGCCTGTATGTATCACACTTGTTGCTAGTTAGGTTATGGGCCTGTTAATGACTGAATCAAACTGTGAAAGCAGTAGCAGTGATGTGGATGTATTTCTGAACGGAAGCAGGGTACATTATTGCACTTCTGTGGTTGCAGCTAGAGAAGCTGTCATGACACAATACTTCCTGTTTGTGCAGCAGGAAGGAGAACGAATTAGAGAAGAGTCAGAGGGGAGCAAAGAAGATTTCACTCATCCAGACTCTGCAGCCAGCACCAACAGACTACACACAGGTAGGAGACAAGTCGAATTACCTTACATTTAAGCACCTGAGTGCAACTTCACAACTACCTGATTAATTAGGCAAATAATTCAACAATGTGAAAACAAGCTGAACCTGGTGCTGTGGTAATCTGTATTTCAGTAGAAATCGTAACTGAGTTCCATTTCCTGTTTGTGGCAGGCTTTTTACATGTCAGTAACTAAAACCCATTCAGGATATAATGATAGAGTTCAAATGGGGCTGCAGCAATGATGATCAACTGCTTTACGTACACCAAGGTTGTCAGAGCCCCTTGAGCAAAAGCACAAATGATAAAGTTCAAATTCAGTATGATTTACTTCACTTGAAAGTATATAGTTGTCCTAACATGTATGATGATGACTAGCTATGGTATCACACAAGGTAGCATTGCCAAATTTAGACACAACACCCAAGACAGTGTTTTATCAATACAAGAGGGTGTAATGTAAATAAAATCATCTATCATGGTAAATGTTATTTTGCATCGCAATGTCTATATGTCAAATATATAAGTGAAGAAAGGGGAGAAGAAAATAGAAATTTTGATGAAAGTTTTGAGAATAAAATGTTGTAGTGTTAAGACAATAAAGCCACAGTTAAAAAAAGTTTTGGGGAATAAAGTAATAACTGTTTTTGAAAAAATTGATTCGACTGAGTAGATTAGGTTTATGTACATGTGCACATTTTCTTACAGTTCATTTATACTGTACATCTTCCATTTTTACTTCTTTGGTGAATCCCTAACTTTTGTCCCGCTGCTATCTTTCCTCCAGTGCCACCATGAGGTTTCCATTTTGTTTTGTTTTTTGTGAAATATCTCAATCACTATTGTACATATGGCATGAAATTTTGTACAGACATTCCTGATTTCCAGGCATTGTATCCTGACTTTGGTGATCTCTAACATCAGATTCACATTTGGTTGAGTGAAAAGTCTCAACAACTATTGGATGGATTGTCCTGAAACTTGGTAAACATGATAATGTCTTCCTCAGGATGAATTGGAATAACATTGGTCATTTCTTAACTTTATTTTATTCTCCAATATGTTAGACACCTCAGCTGTATGTAGTGTTTACTACTAATTAGCAAATGTTAGCATGCTGACAAGCAAAAGTTAGCTACCTGCTAAACATCAGCATGTTAGTGTTGTCATTGTGAGCATGTTAGCATGCTGGTATCAGCATTTGTCTCAAAGCACTGTCTGCTTTGTACAGCGTCACAAATGCTAAAATAGCTTTAGACTATTTTTTTGTTTGGTTACTACCTCTCAGACGTTTCTTCTTTCCTCTGTGTTGTGTGGACAGACGATTCATCAGCTGTGCTCTGCTCACAGCCCAAGAGAGGAGCTCTGAGGAGACAGGCTTGTATTGACCAACATTCTCAAGAGCAGCTTCAAGATCCTTGGGTTCGCCTTTCAGACAGCTCCCCTGAAGAGCTGCGTGAGATCCACCGCCAGCACGCTGCAGACAGGAACCAGCTTATTAACGTCCACAAAAAGCCTGCCACCATGAGTGACGAAGATAACACGGTCCTTGAGCTCAATGGCACAGCCACTGACGTGACTTCAGATCCCCAATCTGACATGACTCCTGAAAACACATGTGAAACTTCTGCAGGAGAGAAGAAGGCCCCCCCGGTGGCACCCAAGCCTACCTGGTTTCGCCAGAGTCTGAGGAAAATTCGGGATGAGCAGGACCAGAAGAAGCAAGCTAAACCCACTGAGCAAAGGCCCACTGTGGGCTTCACCAGAAGCTTTGGAGTCAGATCTGCCTCAGCTGCAACCAACCTTTCAATCAAACAAAAGATTAACTCATTTGAGACTTTTTCCACTCCAGAGGGTGGTCCAGAGAAGGGGGGCAACAGGAGACCTGTGGCCCCTTCCGCCTGCCTTCCTGTGATGCAGAAGGAGTCCAGGAGTCACCTTGCCTCACACGGAGATTATGGAAAAGGAAAAGATGAAATCCCCAAAGAGATCCAGGCAAACCAGTCTGAATCTGTTAGGGACATAGACAACACAACTGTCTCTGCCACACCCTCTGCTTTCACCTCCTCCACTTCTGAAGCTTGTAGTCAAACAACAGTCAAGTCTTCTGAAGATGAATCTCCCTCCATCCAATCCCCCAAAGATCTCGCACTTTCAGACACCATCAGCACTGATCTGGACTCAGGGATACATGATTCTCACTCAGCCCTAGTCCATGATGACAGCAATGTCGTTCCATCAAAACAGGAGTTTGTTCTAGAAAGAGTGGATCTTAGCGGGTCCACAGATACCAAGGTCCTACCCCCTGATGTTGTAACATCTATAAGATCCAGTCAAGCTGAGGAGGAACATCCTCCAGAGGGGACCGAGGAGGGTGGAGCACAGAGCCAAAAAAAGCTGCTAAGCGCGACCCTGAGTGCTGCTCCGCCCACAGACAGTCACCCCATGAGAGGCCTGGAGGGAGAGAGTTTAGGGAAAATCCTCGCATTCAGTAACCAGGTAATCTGTCATGTGAGGTGCTGTGATAATGTATGTTATTTGCCATCTAAATATTATTCAATTTATTACAACTTATTTTTGTAGTTTTGACCATCAATATATAAACCTTGACCTAAAAGTAATAAGTGATATCTGAGAGCATAAATAGTCAGAAACAATCTACAAACAATTTATCCAGATTATTCATACCACCCTTTATAAATACTGTGTGTGCTCACCACTACAGTCCCTATACACTGTGAAATGAGCTATCCCAGCTGAACATTGTGAGTAATTAAAATTGTTTAAAGGGGCACCAATTAGTGTTGGTGCAATCAGTTAAATGTGTCTATCAGAATGATCAATCATAATAATAAATAATGACTTTAATAAAGTTCCTCAGGGACACTCCTTAGAGAAGGGAAAACAACTGCCAATTAATTGATTCAGTCTCATAAAATACACTTTTAAATATTAATTTGAAACTCTCATTAATATTTAATAATACTGACTGAAAATGTAATTTGACCCATCTCAGAGTGACATGCAATGACCCTACAAGATCATTGTAATGGCACAGCATACAGGGGCCTTTTAAGTACAGTAGGTCAGGAAGTGGAAGCAGGATGTGGGTCTGCAAACTGATGTTTATGGATTTCTCTCCTACACAGGTTTGACTAACACTGGGATTTCTTTCCCATCTATGTGATCATCTGACTGCTTGTGTTTCTTGACCAGTTATCTGTTCTCCAGATAGTCGCAATTAACTTGAGATTAACATGAGTACAGTGTAAATGTTACTGATAGAAATGAAAACCAAAACTACCAAAATAAGACTAAAAGTTACAATAACCCCGAATTATACTTTAATAAGGTGAGTAGTTTTGACACCACACGCTCTGCTTGCCTTGATGCTTTCTCCCATATAGTTTGTAATGTCAATACAACACACATTTGACACGTCATGCTTATTGGGTATGATTTCAGTTCTCTTTTTCTTTTATCAAATTCTTTGCAGTTCATATAGATCACATTTCCCTTGAGATATTTAGATTTTTGTTACTGTGTTGGGAATTGTTGGGTTTAAATGGCATCAATAGTTACATTAAATAACATAATCATGAGAGCCCGACCGATATTAAAGTGAAAAAGAGTCGCTTTATATGCCGATCTTTTGATTTTGAAAATGAAGTATAAACTACACTTAGAACAGGCCGATATTGAAATCTGTTCTGTATGTGTAATACCTTTCCTGAATGGATTATGTTAAAAAAAAGCCTTCAGCCACACACATTAATAAATATATTTAATGACAAAAAATGGTTTTAAGCATTTGTATTTTACCTTACACAAAATCTTCCACAATGACTACTTTCAATGTAACATATTCAGATTTAGTTTCTCCCTTTACCAGCACTCTTTAATTCTATCCAAAGCAAGCTATGAGAAACCATTTCTTCTGGCTCTAAACCATGCCGTCTATGATACAGTGACCTATAGGAAACACTGCTGTTGAATGCATCTAATACTACATGCAAGTAGTAATATTAGTAGTTGCATGTAGTATTTGACCTGCAACTTTGAGATTTCAAACTAACATTTCATTTGGTTTATTGACATGGTTTAATCACTTCTAAGTCACCGACTGTAACTACAGGCATATTTGAGCTAAGAGGACTGGGCTCAATGGTGCAAAGGTTTAGGACACACAAATGAACAACTGTTCAAGTTCCTGTGGTCCTGCATGTGTATTATATTATATATTGATAATGTATATTTTCTTTGTCTCTATATTATCTATATTGTCTTTGTTATTTTTACATCTATTATTTTATCACTTTATTTTTCTATATTTTTATTCAATATACCCTTAAAACGTTTAAATTAGAAATGTGAAGTGTTAATAGGTCAAATTATTGAAAATGTAATTTTCTTTGCAGTATCCTCGTACTGTTGGTACAAGAACAGTCAGATTTTAATATGTGGTTTTTGTTCCAGGTTTCACAAGCGTTGATGCGCTCTTTACCTACGTACCCCTGCCATGGTAACCCATCCTCCTCAGAACTGCAGGACACCTCTGCTGAGGATTTCACTAACCCTCAGGAGTCTGACCCTGCCCTGGACAGCACGGAGAGAGGATTCTCTGTCAGGTAAGACTTCCACAGAGAGGTTTGAGTAAATGACTGAAGCAGGGACAGAGGACGTACTGTGCCTGTTTTATATTCATAAGGAAGTGGGTTTAGGTTGAAAAAAACACTTCCTGTTTTATCAGAGCAGTGGTGAGTTTTTAGTTATGTTAAATAGCACAGTTAAATACTGCTGGCCAGCACAATTCTCAGAGGTGACATACTCATCTTTTCATCTTTTTAAACACAGCTTGGCCACACTGAGGGAGTGCAGCATTGAGCATGGGGAGGGCCGATCACACGACGAGGCGGCAGTCACTTCTACTCATGCTCACTCTGTGATCTCAGCTATCCCTTCACAGGAAATACAGAGGATGATCCAGGAAGTCAAAGCTCTTGACAAAGAGACGCTGAAGGTAAAAAAAAAAAAAAACTCCCAGACTTTCACTTCATAAAATTGAGTTTTACCAATTGAAGTTGTAAAACTCATGGAGAGATTAGATTAAAGTAAAAGGCTGCAGCTATTTTTTATTTTTGTTTTTTATTTTATTTTTATTTATATATATATATACACACTTAAGACCGCACACCCAAACACAAGAACAGCAATATTGTGTATGCTGTCCAATGCAGTGAGGAATTCACAGACCTGTGAATATTAGGAATATATTATTATATTGAGGAAACTAAACAACACAGAAGGGCCAACCCCTCAGCTCAAGACTCAGCAGTTTACTTACATTTAAAAGTATATGGGACACTCCTTTCCTCCTCCTCATTTACACAAGAGTAGAGAAACTCTCTCTCAACAGGGCAGTAAGTCAGTGGCATTTTTTTTTTGACAGTTTGAATTGTGCAATGAATTACACACGATGCTTGGCAATTATTTTGTTTTGCTAGTTTGTTTTAGTACCGTTTTGTTTGGTGTGAAACTGCTCAGTGATCTCTCGTCTCGCAGACGATACATCACCAACACCAACATGGCTGTCCCTAGTAATGTTATCTTGCATAACATTTATTTAAAAAGGAAACAGTCGTGCGTTGAACACCCTGTACTGTTAAGCAAGCACACTGCAGACACACCCACCAAATGAGAGAAGACGTACCTCAAAGCCTGTTTCACACTGTTTTGAGTAGGGATCAACTGAAATGTTTTTTCCCAGGCCAATCACCATTATTAGTAACTAATTAGACCGATGACCGACATGTAGAACAGATATAAATTAGCTTTAAAATTTTTAATCTTGGTGTCAAAATTTTGAACAATACTATCTAACTCCAACTCAAAACTTTGTTAAAAAATAAAAATTAAAGTTAATTTTAATGTTTAATTTTTATAAATAGTAAATTAAATGAATTAGAGATCCATCCCAGAGATGAACTTGTTAACTATGATTGATAAATTATCATAAACTTTGTCTTTACCTGCTGTCATTTATATTCTATTCTTTTTATAGTGTTAGGATTTTATTGATTTATTGGTTCTGTTCTTTATCTATACTATTATTGGTTTTTCATTACTAAATAATTGCCTTTAAAACATGATATTTAAAAAAGAATAAATTCAGAACAGTAATCAAATTTAATATTTTATTTGAACTACCTTCAGATCAGCAACAAAAGTTAAGTTTACAGCAGCAAAGTAACAATATAAAATCAGTATCCCACTAGAAACAAATGGAACATGTTAAATACTAAAAATACTGAGTAAAGTTTAGATCCGTGGCAGTCGTCCTCCTCTGCTGCTGGTTTCTCTCTACAAGAGTTTACAAGGATTTGCTAAATGTTAAGGTACGCAGCATCTCAGCTCAACAGGCTACAGACAGACATTTCGTTTTAGCTTGTTTAGGACAAACTAGCTATTAGCAGAGCTAGCACACGTGCCTGTGTAAAACCTTGTGGACGAGACAGAATAAAACATTGCTTTGTACACATTCCTGCTTGTTGTCCTGATGCAGGTTTTGCTGCACTTGCTTACAGTAACGGCCGTAGTTATGGTCAACTTGTGTAAGCTATACTGATCTCCTCTCACTTCGCTCTAGTGATGTGCGGATCGATCGTAAAGTATCGATATTTCTGATACCAAAGTTTCCTGCTCCAGGATCGATACTCATATAAAAGGATCGATATCTAAACTCAGTCATTTGGAGTGAGTGAGTGTTTTATTATAAGTATCTTACTGTCACCAGGATGGTCTAATTAAACTTGGTTGATAGGAACTACTTTCCCTTCCTCCAAAGTCATGCTTGCCCTACGGCTCTGTGACGGAGCTTCTCTGAAGTGAGCCGCTGCAGCCCTTTACATTTCCCGCGATTGAATACTGACTCTGGCTGACTGTAGAAACAGTCACGTCTGGCTGTGTTTTAGCTGTGAAGATGTGTGTGCAAAGACAGTGAAATACTTTGGCAACACCGCAAACTTCCCTAAACATCTGAGATTAAGTCTGTCACAATAATAGGATGATGTTATGAAGCGGCAGTTCTGAGCAGGATATTATAATTAAAGAATATGACAGTAGTTTGATGTCTTGTCATTATGCAGCTATTATTTTGAATTGGTAAGGCTACAGCCTACTCCTTATTTCTCTCATAAATACAGAAGCGGGAGGGGGGAGATTACATTAAACTAGAAATAAAATATGTAAAAAGTATTGGTATCGGCAATACCAGCCATATAGGAATTAAGGGGTATCGCACATCACCACTTCGCTCTACAGGGTGTGAGCATGCGGAGCTCTGCTGAGAGGAGGTGCAGGGGCTGCTGCGTGGTGGCTCGCTTGTTCTATTGGCTACTTCTGCACAATAGTCAGTGTTGATAGGCTATTACTTGTAACCAATCAGCTAGTACGTTGGGCAGAACATTGCACTCACCACTCTGTGGGCTCGAGCTGCATCAGAGCCAAAGGAGCGCATTTTTAAAAATAATTTATTATATCAGCTATCTGTTTTTAAAATGGCCCATGCAGGTTATTGGAAAAATACTAAATATCGGCGCTGATAATCTGTCAGACCGATTATTGGTCGACCCCTAGTTTTGAGGAGTAGTTAAACCCGGAAACTGTAGCAAAATGGTACACACCATTTTCAGATTGAACATGTCCCAGATGTGTTTTGTCCAGCGATGCCTGGTCCTTTTAATCAGCTGGGAAGAACGAAGAAAAATTATTTGTCTTTTGCCGTTAACCACCATACTTTTTTTCCTGAATAAAAGTCTCATGGTGGTCCACCGGAAGCAGAGGGACGACGCCTCTCTATTACATTTGGAAACATGATCTAGAAATGAAAATACAGTTCTGTGAATGTAAACAATGCTTGGTGGCTCCAAGTCCCTTCAAAGTAACAAGCCAGTTAAACATGTAATCTGAGCTAATCATAAAAAATAAAGTGCAGTAGTGGTAATGATACTGACTATTGTAACAGCCAACCTACAGAGGGTGCCGTTAGCTGGTGTGGCATTATGTTGGATATAAACCGAGGTTGAGCAATAAAGCACTCTTGAGAATGGCAGTCTGTGTGTACAGTCCGGTCAATACAGTATTAACTCTGCCTCTTTTCACACAGCAACTGGTGGACATCCATGTTGTGATTCTGCATAAAGAGGAGGGAGCTGGACTGGGCTTCAGCATCGCTGGAGGGTCTGACCTGGAGAGCAAAGCTACTACAGTAAGCAGCAGTCACTACACATTAATACTGATCACATTAGAACAAGGGTTAGACTGACATAAGGCTGTGACTAGCTGTCAAAGATTTTAATCTCACCACTAGGTAGTTTCTCCATGTTAAATAGTGTTCATTCATTCTTGATTTTAAGTTTCATTCACTTATGTCTGTAGCTGCTACCTCTGATGGTCAACAGTGGCTCTCTGTCCTGACAAGCCTAAACATGTTCACAGAGCCTTAAAATATACAGGTGGTCTCACTCAGGGTGACTGTGGTTCAGTAGGTAGAGCGGGTTGCCCGTTAATCAGAAGGCCGGCGGTTCAATCAACGGCATGTCAATCCTGCATGGAAGTGTCCTTGGGCAAGATACTGAACCCCCCCTGGTGGCTGTTCTGCCAGTATGAATGTGTGTGAATGTTAGTTTCTGTTTGAGCACTTAGGCTCAGTGAATGGTGAATGCAGATGTAGTGTAAAAGCGCTTTGAGTGGTTGAAAAGAATAGAAAGGCGCTAAACAAATACAGAGCATTTACATTACTTCATTATATTTTGGTACTGTTCCACAGGTCTCAGCTGTGGGGAAAGGAGCCTGAGACCCCATTCCTAACCACATAATAAAACATTTTAAAAAACAATTGGAGAACAAGTCTCACCAAAAAAATACCTCTTCAAGAACAAAGGAACACCTGTTCAAAAATGGTAAAAAAAACAATGGGTAAGGAGGTTTAATGAAACCAAGCTAAAACATAAAGTAAGCCTGCATCTCAAATGACATCAAAGACTGCCCTGGTACAGGCACTAAGGGGTTCTATGTTCCCTGTGTTCAGTTCTAGAATACTCAACACTCACACTTTCTGTGATAAACAAGAGAGATGGCAAAGAACTCTCAATGATAAAGTGAGTTCTGCACCAAAAAGAGGAAGGATCAGAATTCTCTGGGTGCGCAGTTTCCCACAATGTGATTGTCCAAGAGAGGAATCACCAAGCTGCTCTCAGTCATTGTTGAAGAGTCAGTCCCCACACCCTGTGCAACAGGTGATCTGAATGATCCTCTAATAAAACCAGAGGAAAGTTAATATTTTTAACGTAAATTAATAGGATTTACAATTTTAAAAACTGTATAACTACAGGCAAGAGATGTAAAAGATAAACAATGTTTAAGTAAATAATTAAGAATGATCCAAAACAAATAAAATTAAGGCCATTTCAAAAAATTAGGCTAAGAATATAGGTTTTAAGTTATTACTGGACTGAGTGAGTACATTGACAATTTTCAAAATACTATCTTGCAATGTTGAGAACAAAAAAGGTCACACCTCAAGCATTGGCTGAGACCTATTTGTTTACCAGATTTAATCTAAATCTTTCTAAGGTTTTGAGATATTTCACAAATAGCTGATCTGAAAGAAAGTGATCAAGTCAGATCACTTGATTTAAATATTCAATTCAATTTTATTTATATAGCGCCAAATCACAACAACAGTTATCTCAGAGCGCTTTTCATAAAAGAGCAGGTCTAGACTGTACTCAGTGATGTTATTTACAGAAGCCCAACAATTCCCACTAAGAGCAGAACTAGGCGACAGAGGCAAGGAAAAACTTCCTTTTAAGAGGCAGAAACCTCGAGCAGAAGCATGGCTCAGGGTGGGCGGCCATCTGCCTCGACCAGTTGGGGGTGAGGGAGAGAGAGAGGGGAGGGAGGCAGCCTACACAATATACACACAGAGGTACAGACAGTAAAGGTAATGTTGCTATAGACTGACTGAATAAGTCTTAACGGACTTTTTCGAGCAGCCTGATAATAAAGAATTGCAGTAATCCAGCCTAGAAGTAACAAATGCATGGACTAGTTTTTCTGCATCATTTTTAGACAGGATGTTCCTGATTTTTGCAATATTACGTAGGTGAAAAAAGGCGGTCCTTGAAATTTGCTTAATGTGAGACTTAAACGACATGTCCTGATTAGAGATTCCACACAGTGGTGCTGGAGGCCAGGGCGATGCCATCCAGGGAAACTATATCTTTAGATAATGCATCACAGGGGTGCTTGGGCCCCAGAACCATAACTTCAGTTTTATCTGAGTTTAACATTAGAAAATTACAGGTCATCAAGGTTTTAACATCCTGAAGGCACATTTGAAGTTTAGCTAATTGATTTGTTTCATCTGGCTTGATCGATAGATATAATTGAGTATCATCTGCATAACAATTAAATTTTATTGAGTGTTTCCTGATAATATTGCCTAAAGGAAGAATATATAAAGTGAAAAAAAGATCTCAACCTGAAAACTGGGAACCAAGACATCTTTTTTACGTTTTACATTTATGTCCTGTGTTAAACCGCTAACCAATAAAGGCTGAGTAATCCATCCATGAGGATTTTTTGGCTGATCTGCAAAGCGGGGCAGGTGCACTAGACTCCATGAGGGCTGATGCGTATACTGTGGAAAGGAAAAATATGTTTATATAACACACCATCACCTCAACCTCCCACTTACCATCATGGTTGAAATGCAGAGCTACCAAGTTCACAAGTTGTATATGTGTGAAAAAAACACAGAATTAGAGACATTTGTAAAATCAAATTGTTCTTGTATTGTGTGAAGTGTTGAGGCAATGCTGCCACCTTGTGACTATAAAGTGCCATTAGCTTTTGCCTGCACATAATATTCATATGTAATAAATACCTACTTTCAATATATTAGGTTCACCAAGCTATAACTATTGCAGGGTTAGGGTTTTTACTTTACAGAATTACCTGTGATTTACTTCAGTACGAATGTTGTTGTGTTGCATTTCCTTTATAATATAATTCGAATACTTTGCCCAATCTGGGAAATTTACCACCACATTTTATTTCTGGAGGCACTGAAATCAAATTAACCAGGCACCAACCAGCACTTCTGAAGACTGGACCACTAATCATTTTTAACCACAAACCATACATGGTATGTCGTAACTGCTTCCAGCGTGCTGGATGGATGTTCTGAAGGTGGTTCACCATCACATCTCAATTACAGTGGAAGCTGCAGTCGAGTACAGATGTTTAATAAGATTCAAGTCCTTCCTGTCTGTAAAAAAGAAAATGTAACTATAACAACAGCCATCCTAAACAAAATCACCACCAGCCCTGCCATAAGATCGACCTGTACAAAGCTTATATTTGCTCCTTCTCTGCTAATGTTCAGTCTGAGAGGTGTTAAATAATATGTATGTATAATGTTTCTTCTTAAGTTGCAATGCGTTGAGCTTTCAGGACCTCCATTTTAATGAGCTGCTAGTTGTCAAAAACAAGCAGAGAAGCTACTAGTGTGTGAAGTTTACTAGTGTGAATAAATCATTTGAAACATTTCAGTGCACAACCCCCCATTTCACCAACGCTGATGGCATCGCTCTTCAGCTTCAACCTTCTGATACCATTTCCTCTGCTGATGCGTTGGTGAAACGGTCGTCAGTAAAATTCTTGTTGGCGACAGACTGTTTATAAAAAGGTTGCCGTGTCAGGGGGGAGGCTGAGTGCAATGGCAGGTAGCAGAAGTGTGGACTGAAATGCAGACAAGGGCCAGGACGATGCAGTTCAAAATCAAGATTTATTAAAGTTAAACAAAGCAGTCTTACGCTGGGAGCACAGCGGCAAATGTCCAAACAAAAGTAACTCCAAACAGAAACATAATCCTCAGGGGAAATCCAGAAATAAGGAACAATCCAAAAACACACAGAACAGGGCATGACAGAACACTCAACATTCAATGAGGATGGAACAGAGACTGAACAGAACAAGCAAACATTTAAACACCAGGTAATGAGCAGGGCGGGACCAAGACCAGGTGGAGGACATGAGGTAATTAGACAGAACACAGACACAGGCAAGCAATTGAAACTAATTGAGGGGAACAGACAAGACCAGACCAAAATGCAGAAACACAAACTGAACACGGAATAGATGAAAATCAAACAGAACATGAAACAAGCAGACTGAACACTGAACACAAGGCATGACAACTAACACAAGAGAACAAACAACCACAGAACAGACTAAAGAACTGAACTAGGATCAAACAGAACACAGAGTCGACAAGGCCAAAATAACAACAAACACACAACCAGGAATAAATACAAAGACATGAACTAAGACACAGGACTAAAATGCAGGACTAAAATTAAGATACGAGACAAGACAGATACTAAGTAAACTAAACATGTGAATGAACAAAAGAATAAGCTAGGCTACAAAACACAAAACCCCAAACCATGACAAGCTCTATTAAAACTTACAGAAACACAGAACCCAAAACCAAACCCACAAAAACAGACTAAAACAGGAAAAAGCATGAACACATTAGACAGTTCACATTATTGCTTAAATGTGGCCCATATCAGACTCCAGTGTGAACTGTCCACGGCCTGAACGTGACCCGCATGCGCAGAAGAATAACACAACGTCACACGCAGTACGCTATTGCAGGCTACAGAAGTAAACAAGGAGCAAAAGAGGTTAGCTCTGATTAGCTCACAGGAGACTCACGTTTTTTATTGTCCTCTCACGGGTGACATGACAAGTATTCACAACTTTCTGTTCTTTTGATTCTGGCGCTGTCCAACGCAACTGCCCCACTCCCTCCGTCTCTCTCCCTCCCCACTGTGTCCGCATGAACAAATAGCATGCACATAACTCAGAAGAGAGTTTGTGGTCTGGTGGATTTCACGTGTAAGAAAGACAATTCTTGAGCAGATGATAGTGAGGTAGAGGAGGAAGACAGCCACATGTATAATAATGGCTTTTGTGAAGCTTTTTCATTCACCGCGGCTCCGTCTGCAGCAGCACTGTGACAACAGCTGCTCTAGTGTGACGTCAAAGTCGCATCAGTTCAGACCTGAGTGTCCAGACTGATGTTGCATTTAAAAAGATCCTATCTGTATCGGATTTGGACCACATATGGAAGTGGCCCAATTCCGAACAGGAAAAGATCAGATTCCATGTGACTTGGCCTGTTCACACTGTCATAAAATGTTTAGATCTGGGTTACATATGAGCAAAAAAATCAGATTTGGGCCACATTGGTCTGCAGTCTGACCGTAGTCTAAAATATAAAATGAAGACCCTCTGTTAGCCAACTTTCTTAGGTTAGCTAACTACAACTAAGGTAGCTAACTTAACTAGAAAGACAAACCAACCATCAGACAGACAGTCACACACACATAAACAGAGATATATAGCTAAATACTAAATAAAATATATGATAACTTAGCCTAGCTCACAATGACATTTATCAGTTTAATGCTCTGACTTAACGAGACGCAAACTTGGAGGATGACGTATGGCTTGTGGAATTATTATATAGTCATACATCACCGGCCTGTTTTAGAAACTAAGCAATTTTTGCAACTTTGAGCACAAAATTAAGCTATTTGTCAAAAAGTATTTGTCAAATGGTGTGGCTATTCAACATTGCAAGGAAATGACTCAGAATAACAATAATAGAATAGAAATAATACATTTTATTTGATGGCGCCTTTCATGGCACTCAAGGTCACCTTACAACAAGAACCTCGGCTTTAACCTCGCACATATATAAATACTCACCTTGCACATACACAAATATTCACGCATTACAGTATGTGTGTATGTGCAAGCGTGTATGCATGTATGTGCATGACAGTTTGTGTGTGCAAGCAACATATTCAAGCAACTAGGTGGCTTCTCATAATATTGTATATCCAATAATATCCGACAAAGCATTTGTGACCAAAGCATTAACCACCATGATGGCAATGTATACTTATTGTACTTAATGTATACTACTAAAATTCAGTGTTTGATGAATGTAACACCTTGTGAAGAATTAGAATTTACTTGTTTGGTCCAAAATGGTCAGGGACCATTTAGTGCATCTGTTATTGTAATGTCAAGGCCTCTGAAGAAAACAGTCATACAATAAGTAAATAAGACTACTGTTTTTTAGGGGTGCAACAGATCACAAAACCCATGGTTCAGATCCTTTCCAGACCAGCCAAATAAAACACACAACGCTTGGCAAATTTGTGGACTACAGTTCTATAGCCCTGTCAGTTCATTTTAGCTAAAAACAGGCTGAAAACAATTTGTAGATAATTTACTTCTGATCAGAGGTGTGCAAGGGTGAATGAACAAAAAAAATAAATATGCATTTTACACTTTGTGCCACTGTCTGAAAATTATACTAATCTATGAGGCACCGACTGTCTTGCACCCAGGTCCACAAAGTGTTTCCCAGTGGCCTGGCAGCTCAGGAGGGCACCATTCAGAAAGGAGATGAGGTGTTGTCTATAAACGGACAAACACTGCGTGACGTCACCCACGCTGATGCCACCGCTGTTCTGCGTCAGGCCCGCAGTCTGAAGCTGGCAGTGGTGGTTGTCTGTAAGAGAACAGAGGAGGAAGGAACAGAGGGAGGAGACTGTGGGAGCAAAGAGCCCAACCCTGTAGGTGAGTCATACAACACACAGGGATGTAGACCTAAACCTGAAGAGTCTGAGCCTCTCCAGATTTCAATGCTTTTCTAAAACACGAGTTTCAATTTAATTAGAAAATAAGCCCTGCAGTTTATGTTTGCCTAAAAAGGTTCTACATTCCGTACTATGGGATCAGTTATACCTTTTAATATCTTAACCTTTATTTTCCAGCTGTACATAAAGGTGTGCAGGCTACATTTGCCATTTTCTGTGAATTGTGTTTTGTGCTGCAGTGGAGGAGCAGGGAGCTCCGGTGAGTTTGCAGCTGGAGAAAGGAGCTGGTGGAGTTGGGTTTACTCTGGAGGGAGGAAAAGGCTCAATCCACGGAGACAGACCTTTAGTCATCAACAGGATCTTTACAGGTACATTCATGATGCTGACATTATGATTTCATTATACTTACAATTAAACAATTTCCAGTAAATTCAAACACTAGGCTTTCTTATTAACCATGACTAATAAACAGATATAACATATTATCAGTATTAATATTCAGAGTTTGATTGCTTCTGTTTATTTGCTAAAATGACAGAAAGCAGATTTTCTGTGATGTGAATTAATGTTATTATAGAGAAGAGACACTTCATATTTCTTGATATTTGAAGGAGGAGAGGATGTGATGCATTTCCGGAGTGCAATTAGTTTCAAATCTGGGAAAGGAAGCTGCTGCAGACATGAGTACTACATGTACTCATGTCTGCAGTCATGCAGTCTGCAGTCATGCAGCAACTATGTAAAACTGTAAACGACTGAAACTTGGCAATGAATGCTTAATCAGTCTTATTCTCTTGTTTGGCTTTTTGTGAAATAGAATGAAATAAAGTCTGTAGAAACACATTTTCAAATTCTGGAGAAAAAAAATCTGAAAACAAATGCTCTGTTGTCAGTACTGAAACGCATTCCCCAAACATACTGAAACCAGTTATCACAATTTTGTGAAAGATGGCAAGAGCTAATAATTAGTTGTTTTTTTAGAATACCCTTCCCAACTCTGTGTGTGTGTGTGTGTCAGGTGGAGCAGCTGAGCAGAGCAGTCTGCAGTGTGGAGATGAACTGCTGCAGGTCCAGGGAATCAGCCTGCAGGACATGACTCGCTTTGAGGCCTGGAACATGATCAAGGCTTTACCTGAAGGACCCATCACAGCAGTCATCAGGAGGAGGCAGGGGCCAGTAGAATGACACACATGGTTGCTTACAAAAAGAGAAACTAAACAAACAGCAGCACTTGCGGCACACCAATATTGCCCTCAATATCATAGAAATCCTATCAGCCAGTCATTGTGGTCTACCATAGACAGAGTGGTTGGACAACTTCTAAAATCATTTTTATTATTTTTATATCAAATGTCTGACCAGATCTAAAACCCAAGTTTTCTCACTTACCCACAGTGGTGAGTCAATAATCTGCAGAGCACACTGTCAGAAAGTTTACCTTCAGTAGAACATAGTATAAATGTTTGTTCCAGTGGATTATCCTGCATAGTGCCGTTTTGTTTACAGCGTAATGGGATCTGGCTTGTTGAATATAGATATAGAATAGTGTCATGGGGAGACAAAGAACAAAGCCCGACTGTGCAAACTGCTTATGTCTCTGCCTCCATGACAATGTTTTTGTAAAATATGTGGTGAATTACATTCATACATACATTTGCTGAAATTATGTAATAAGTAAGATGCAGTAAAACATGACACTGGGGTAAGTATAATAGTTGCAATGTTATTTCATACCACAGTAGTGATGTGAGCCAAGTAATTTTACCCACTCTATCCTTCACAGTATGAAACAGTAAATCACAAATCAGGCCCTGTGAGCCACACAACACTTCATGAAAGATAATTTAAGGCTGGTGGTTCTCCAACAGCTGACTTACATATCAGTCTCGAAGTCTACAAAATCAGTCTGATTAAATTCAGACATCGGCACAAACCTTAAGGAGAAAGGAAGCACTGCAGGGGAAAGGCACAATAAAAGCAACACCTGTAGAGAACGATGCAACCCAGTACAACAGCCCAGCATCAAATCTGCAGTGCTGTTGTACTGGACTGATTCAAATTGTGATGGGTGTGGAGTATAGGTGTTACGTGTCGTTTTAATGCTCCTGTATCTTGAACCTATAATGGTATGAAAAGCAAAAGGAAATCAGTTGTAAAAGAAGACAGTTATATACTGTATATTAGAATAAATGCCTATTTTTCAGCAGTTGTACTGTATGTATGTGGAAACAAGTATAATGCACTTTGGTTGACTCAGTAGCTTTGAGTTTGACTCTCCTGCTACTAGTAGTTATCTGTCAAACCAAACCCAACTGGAATGTTAGAGTTGTATTTGTGTCAATCTTGAGCATGTAATGGGACATTTTGAGCACAGAAAAGGATTTTATGCAAGCACATGAATGACATTTTTGTACAGAAATAATCCCTCAATCTATTCTGTACTCAGTAGTGTTTAATATGCACAAAGATGCACAATAACCTGACACTGTGAGCACGTGCCCAAGGCTTTGAGTGTGCATACAGCAGGAAATGTGAGGACAAATGTGCGCTTTTAACTTTTATTTATAATCGAGCACAGAACAGATTACTTTGCTCAAATGTTCTATGCGTACTAATCATTTCTAATTTTGGGGATCCAGCCCTTTTCTGTGCTTAAAATGACACAAACATATTGCCAAAGTATGTCTTTGCATGCAACCACAAAAGAATGTTTTCTATTACTGTTTTCTAGAACATGTATAAAGCTGTTCAAAACGGAGCCAAATCTGTGTGATGTTTCATCCTCTAAATGTGTAGATGGCTTTAAAATAGTTTAAAGTGTGAGAAGCTTTTCTGTTGTTCTGTTAAGAAGAAGACCAGTGATGGACAACAAGATGTTTCTATTAATCATTTTAATGCTGGTGAAATACAAAACTAACTGGGTGCAGAACAGTACAAGATCAACAGTTCAATGTGTTCTGACTAGACACGTAAAACTCAATGTTAAGAGTAGCAGCTCTCATGAAGAGGAATAAATTATATATGTTTGACATCTATCATTTTACATATATTCTGCCATGTCAGCCATTAAATTTCCCCAGGACAACCTGAAACTAGGGTAACATAGGAGGCAAGAACAGTCACATGTTACCAGAACAGTGCACACAAGGAAACTTTGTATTGGTCTCTCAATCACAGAACACAAACTTTACTCTGGATATTTGGGTTCACTGGTGGTCAAAAAACCCGTCAGTCACAATCTAATACTTAAAGGGTGTAACTAGGACTGGTTCTGCCATAGTATACATGCTCTTTGACCACCTAGTCATTCTGGATACAGTGAGATGCTTGTTGGTCAAAGTTCACTGGGGTGAGAGAATGCACAGGGGTAAATCAATACCGAATCACATGCTGCCGCACTGTTCTGTATCAGAATCTCATGTTTAGTGTTCACTGCTTGCATTTTTACATGTTAGGTGTAGTTCACAGTAAACAGGTCCTGTATTGTTGAGGATGCCTCAAAATATAATTAGAAACTAGCAGCAAACTGGTGAAAAAGCTGCTGGTGATTCTGTGGGTTAAGTCCCAACGTTTTTGTGGCAGTCAAAACAGACGTCCCAGCAAGTGTAGGATATAAGATGTACAAGGACCCGATTTCAGTTTAGTATTAATAAGTGATCTGTATGTAGTTATCATATCTGGAGCAGAGAAAAGAGTTACTGCATGTGTAAATGCATGCAGAATGCAGTCGGATCAGCCAGAACACCTCTGCAGGTGAAGATGACATCTGGACAGTTAAGTTAAGAATCAAGCTATCTCGAAAGAGAGGCCCTGCCGCAACGCTGCTTCAGGAGACTCTCGAGGGACAACGACAACATGAAAGATGACTGACAAGGATAGCCAATCCAGCATTCGTTTCCCGACTGGCTCAGATCCCAATCTTACAGTATAAATGATGTTTGTCTCGTTAGCTGGGTGACCGAAGAGAGGTCTACAGATGCCTTCAGCTGTCCCAGTGGGTCAACTTGACCCTCGCCTTGCACATTGTAGCAGTCCTTTGGGAGAATCCCTCATTACTTCCCTTAAACCTGCAATAACTGATTTTTTCTGGCCACTGGGAGTCAGCTGAACATATTGGTGCAGTAAACATGTACACGTGTGTTCGAGATGACTGCAGCGGACTTTTCGCCAACTTGATAGTCAAACATGATCTGCAGGCGACTTCAGGGGTTGGATACAAAAACACTGCCGTCAAGTAGGACAAATTCTACCTCCCGTACCGTGAGCTTACTGTGAACTTAGAACAATGACTGATCTCGCCGCACTAAGTCAAACACACATATTGCCTTATCATCACCTTTTAAGTTGATATGGCAAACTTGTTAGCAAACAGTTGCACATCTACACATCCAGCAGTTCTACCTAGCGAATGGGAGTCCAATACTGACTCTCTGTTAGCTCTGTTTTGGTGTCCACAGCCTTCTGAAGGAAATATCTGGCTCTACCCACCAGCTAGTCTCTGTGTCTGTCTGCTCTTGGCTGCGGAGCGGGTCGTGAACAGTGGGTTTCTAGAGCTTTTTCACTGACAACAGCGGCCTGCTACTGCCAAAAACAACACAACGAGTAAAGGTAGGAATTATTATTAGCTGTGGGCTGTACAGCTAAACAATTATCAGTTTTCACAGTCATCTGATACATTGTTATTGTAAAAATATCGATTATAGCCACTTTAACCTGAGACATACTGTACCATGTTTGTTGATAACTCCACCTATTAAATATTGAGACCCGATCACAATGCAGGCAGGAGAGGTAATGAGCAGAGGCCTGTCATCATATATCCAGATAACGTAATCAGATACAGATCACATGTCAATACATAGACTTGTTGTTGGGCCTGTACTACGAAGGGAGCTCAACCTACTCAGAGTTAACTCGGGGTTATCAGGCAAACTCAGGGTTGACAAACTCTGACCGCCTACACTGGAGTTGAACGGTAATACGAAAGTAGATAACATGTTGGGTTAGTTGAGTCCGTGTTAACTTAATTGGAGTGCGTTTGCATAAAAGGGGTGTGTTCGGCCGTGCAGGCGGAGTTTTTTTTCCGCAACGGCACTTGCTTCGTATTTCTCCAGAGGAATGCATGTTGGTAGTGTCAGGAAATTATGAATGTAAAGACAAGTTAACGGCTAAATCTAATATCGTGGCGGCTGACAAAGCCAGGGAGACTTGTTGGCATCACAATGAGTAGGCCTAAATTTGTAGCCTAATTATCATCACAGTGTTTTTATTGTAGTTCAAATCTCTATTATGTATTTTATGGGCTCTTCTTTTATGTGTAATATGATTAAGATATAAAGGTACTACTGCACATAATGTCCATTGTAATAGTAAAAAAGGAGCCAGCGGAGAGGGGGAATAATCCGAGACAGAATTTAATTTCCAAGATTAATCTACAAGTAAAAAACTATTTTAATAAATAAATATTCTCTGACATTATAGTCACACATTTATGAGAGAAACTTCACTTTGCAAGGCTGCAACATCACACACACACCTCTGCCGTGTATTATGCATGCAGTGGAAAGTTATATTAGACTCTGCGATTGGATTTAGCAGTGAGGAAACACTTGTGAGTTTAGCCCACAATCACTATCATGCACCTTAGAGACTTTGTTTTCTTCTGAATAGGCCCAATCCATGGCAGAGTTATTTTCGTTTATGACAAATTTCAGATTTTTCTTCTTGGAAATTTCACACTTTCATCTTGGAGTTAATGTTTTTTTCCTCTGTTTTTAACCCCGACCCCCTATTTTTGGGACACATAAAAATCTAAATATGTGAAAACACTTTCAATTATAGATTACAGATGGGCTATATCCAAGAAACTATCCCGTTAATTAATTAAGATCTTTTCCCTAAAATCCCCGAGTCTGCAGGGCTCGCTGTCTGAACGTAATGCTGTTGTGTTCAGAACTTCACTGCAACCGCAGTGGAACAAATCAGGATGAAATCTAAACATTATGAAGTGGTGTGGATTAATATCCTACTTCTCATGATCACTGAGTAGAGATGTGGTGTGTAGTCCGCGTATACAGGATAACCTCAAGTTAACCATGAACAAAACCTGCTCGGAGGAGTTTAGAGATACAAGGTATATTGCCATGGCAACAGACCTCAGGTAACATCTATCCACCTTTCGTAGTACAGGTTAATCAGGAAGTTACACCTGACGTCACGAAGTTACTCCTGAAGTTACCCGGATAAGCCAGTTACCTCGCTTCGTAGTACAGGCCAGGGGTCTTGAGCCAAAAAGGTGATCAGTGTTGATTCACTTTGAATGTCAGGAATTTGTGCTTCTCTGATTTCCATTCACTTTGTATTCCTCATGTAAATGGGTGTTTCTTTCACTTTAGCAGATACTTGCATGTACATTGAAACAATTTCACATAAAAAATGCCTGCTTTATTTAAACAATACAGACACACACAAATCACCTTTAGATCCACATGTAAACAATAACATCTCAAGCACACATGACTGGGAAATGATGGAATGTAAGTAATTTTTCTTTCACTGTGAGGTAAAAATGTTACAGGTAAAGCGCCAAAACATTTTTAAAAGGAATCTTGATACTCCTAAAAAATACTAGTTTAAACATGTCACATGTCCAGGCTCTAAAGAAAGTGGGTATGTCGACAGTGTACTACACATCTTTCATCCAGCTTTCCCTGACTCAGAAAACTCTTCTTTATCCATTCATTTCATACTGAGGGATTTCTTTATACACTCTTAACATGTTCAAGCAATATATTAATCCAATTTATTCAGTAAGACTTCAGCCTTAATGAAGGGAAGGCTTAAATAGTGTCTTTCAAACCACTCAGCTGTAGTGTCTTCTCATTCCCTTGACCAATGTCAGCTGCAAGATTAATACGAGTAAAGTATTACTGTGTGTGTGTGAATATCTGAATAAGATTCTGGCAGTTGTGGAATAACTTACATTTATATATTTTGTGAATAATATTTATGTAAATATAATACAGTAGCGACTTTGAAATTGTTCAGTTATTAAATACAGACATTTTTTTCTTTCAAGTGCTATAGGTTTTTTCGTGTGAAGGTGCAGCGGAGTGAAGCTGTTCACCCCATCTCTCTAACCTGAAAATTAGTCTTGCATTAAAAACAACACATGAGATACATAAAGCCAATGGTCAGTGTGGATGTGGATGTCTTCAAGTGCTAAATAAGAATTAAAGACTGCCCTAATCTGGACAAGTGGACATACTGTCACTAATGTCCACTTCACGTTCCACAAGTACATTTATTTTTCCTCATGCAGAACTCTCATTGTCTACACTGTGTAGACAGTGAGGTGGCCTGGACAAATACTGCGCGTACTGTGCCAGGGTATATAGAGGAATACTGAAGTAAGATTCAATACCTTTTCAACATATTTTAAGACTGCCGCGTCACTTTGAGCTGTAACCGGCTAGGTCAGCAACACAACTGTAAAAAGGGACACTGTGGAGTTTTAAAAAGGAATTTATATATATTTAAATCATTTTTCTTTACTATATGTGACCAGGTTGTAACCTCACCTAAAAATTGAGGCATGGTGGAAGATTATGGTCGGTTGTACTCCGCACAGATCTATTTTTAGGGCCGTATGAGTGTGGCAGTGTGAGAGCAGCTATAGACAGACAGGGAGACAGCTTCACACAACATGCTGGAAACTCAGGTAAACTCCCACTGCAGCGTTACAGTAATATTTTTATCAGCTGCAGGTTGAAGTAATCCATGCTTGTTACATGATAATGTTACATTTACTGTATTTTGCCAACGTGATGTGTCATTAGCCCGCCTGCTGCTTTTCAGTAACTAACTTTACTATATGTGTGTCTTTCTCCGGAGGCTCAGCACTGTGAGCACAGCTAAATGTATTGGATGATAATGAAACGGTTAGTGAGCTGGGCTGAATATTATAAATTAAATTGTTGCCTCACTTTATAACTGTTAGACCGCAGTAAGTAACGTTACTGTAGTGGATGGGTCTTCCTCTGTGTTGTTATCGTCCAGTTATGTCGCATCATTGGATATTATGGGGTCACGCAAGAAGAGAAGCTGTGTACCTGAGTATCAGTAAAAACACAATAAATCTAAATTGAACGTTATGAAGCAATCAGCAGTAGATCCGTACTAAAGTAGCTGGCTGCTCCTGCCTTGCATCAAGGCTAGTATAAAGAAATCGCTCCACATTTGCTTTGTAGTGTTACATCCTTTCTTGCAGGCTTAAATAAAAACTTTGACATAACACTGGTGGGACACAGGATGGTAATATGAATCGCGTTAGCAGGTAAAGTAATGTGGAAAGAAATAACGTTACATATTATATCTTACACCACATAACTTTAGCAACTGCTGGGCATTAGCCGGCGAGCTGACGTTACTCTCTTGTGACTCCAGCCTTTCTGATGTTTTGTGAAACTGTGTTTTTACTTGACATCATCTGATTCTCTTTGGTCTGACAGGCTTCATCATATAAACCTTTCTGGTTGTTTTTATCCTTACGTGGCGTTTGTGTTGGAGTCTGTGTTTTGCTGGGGGCCGGTTGTTTTGTGGCGTTAGTGTCGTTAGCTGTGTTGTTGTAGTCGGAGCGAGGCTCGGGAGCGCGCATACAGCTTCTATCCCAAGCCAATACCTTCTGATTAAAAGCAGAATAGTGGCTGTTCCAAGCAACAGAGAAAACAGGCGTGTGCTTCATTTCTAAGTGAGGCTACAGCTCAATAAGCCAGTGAACATTTGATTTGTTATTAAGTAACAAGGGTGAGTGTAATCTTTTGTTATTCAGCCACAGCATAAAAATAAAGAAAAAATTGAAAATAATTTCTTAAAGGTGTACAGGATGAGGATCTTTTTTTAGAGTCATAATGTTTTAGTCTCGTGCTTTTCCATGTCCTTTGATTTTCTTTCTTGTCTCTGCTTTGAATAGGACCTCTCTCAGGAAACAAAACTAGTATTTACAGAGGAGACTTCAATCTGGCTTTCATTACAAAGGCAGTGGTGGAGGAAGTAGTCAGATCCTTACTCAGGTGTTCTCATATTGCAGACACATATTACATTGACACACCTCATGAGGCATTTTTGCATCTTTTACAGTTTAACAGTGTCCCCTTTACACTATCTAGTAAAGCTCTCTAGCTTTGTCAGGTTACATTTGGCTTATGTATGTTTATTGTATCTTAAAGTATGTGATTGACACATTTGGATGTTACATGGGATGTTTAATGTTACATCACATCCCTTTCATTATGAAAGGTCTGGTAGCTGGACTGGAAAATCCATCGTTAGCTTGTGACCAGCTTTGTGAGTTCAGTCAGTGAGAAAAGCCATTGCAGCCAAGTTTTGAGAAGCTAGCTCAAATCTAATTAGACTACGCTGAACTTGGGAGACCAACTGCAGGCAGCTGGTTTGGTTCTAATCTTAAAACATGAGGATTTTACAGGGACTGTATATGAAGAAAAAGACAGGGAAATGTACTTTAGAAACTAAAGCAGCACTAAACATGTCCTATTCAGAAGGCAGTCTTTTAGAAAGAATAATCCGAGAAAAAAGAAGCTGCCTTTGTTTAAAAAGGCCACCGCTGTACGCCATCCCACCTGTGCTTCAGTGTAGCTGATAAAAGAGGCAGATATTCACGGCTCAGAGACAAGTGGAGATGAGCAAAACTATGGCATTTCAAGTACAACACAAACAACTAAATATGAGGTATGAGTCAGTATTCCAGCATAGGGTAAATAAGGTCCATGCAACATGCATGTTTACTGTACACACTGAAGTATGCAATTACATTAAAAGATATTCTGTACTGCACATGTACAAATATAGATTTGTATTTTCATCCTAAAGATTGGAGGAAACAAATGTCCCACAGATGGGGGTTTAAAGAGACTGGCATATTAAAAAGAAGAATATGGTCTAGACTTGCTCTATGAAAAGTGCAATGAGATAACTTCTGTTGTGAATTGGCGCTATGTAAATGAAATGGAATAGGAAAACAAAATGGAGTTTAAGATACAAGTTTTGTCAGATGTAAGCCCATGTTCTTATTTGGGGACTTTTCAATATGTCAGCTGCTTTCAAATCAGGGATTTACTGATTCCTCCTGCAGTAACACAGGAATAAAGGAATGCACATTAAAAATAAATGGTGGATTAGATCTATTTTAAATATGGGGCCGTTTGATTGTTGCTGGGTTTGGACTGTTTAAAATGGAATGAGCATTTGGCCTGACCAGTCAGTAGACCTCAGGTTTGAAGGCAGATCTTTTGCTGTCAAAGGTCCTTGAGGGATTTGACGGCCTTGGCCAGGTTGCTGTAGAACTCAGCCATGCTGGAGGGGAAGAACGAGTCGACCACGGAGCGAGGGAGTAAGCCACCTAGGTCTGTCTGGAAGAAACTGAACACCTGGGTTTTGTTGGGCTCTCTGGAAATGTAAAACAAAAAAAGAGAAGCACAAACAGTACGGTGAAGATGACCTGAACTCAGCATATCCTCTACACACAAAGTGTACTTGCTTGGTGTGTGTTAGCGTACTCACCCTGAGATGGGAACACATATGCAACCACACGGATGGTTGAATCCTCTCACGTAGCCAGACTGGGGAGGACAGCCCAGGTGACTCACATTGGTGGCTGTTTGACATGACAAAAAAAACAACATCACACGCATTCATGTGTGTCAACAATATATGTGGCTCTCAACCATGGGAGCTCAGGAACTAAACCGAGAGCCTACAGGTTTTCATTTCAATGAAATAGCTTGGCTTGTGCAGATGCATCTGGTAATCTGGTTGTGGCTTTCCATCGTTTTGCCCATCATTTCTATCAGTTCACAGCAACAAAGTCCAATGGAGCAAGAAACACGGACATTCAGGTTGGAAACAAGCCAACAGGTTATGCAGATCATATAAACCACTTTCCTACCAGGAAGTGGGTCTGTAAACTGTGAGGGATGTTTATATACAGCTCATCAGGTATGTTACTGAAGAATCAGATCATAAAATGTGATCCAGAGGTTAATAATTGTCAAGCTTTACAGAAAAAAGTAGATGAGTGGATATCACCTTATTCACAGTTACTGTACAATATTGCCTTGATCAGTTCTGTTCAAGTATATGTAGACATATTTCTACAGCTCCAATTCATGCACTATTGTATGTTAAGTTTTAATGCTTTGGAGGGCTACAAATCATCACTGCTAGGTCTGAATTGCTTTTTGACCCTGAAATATCTGAGATAATATGAGCAGTTACAGAGGTGGTATTCTGCTCATTTTCAGGTTCAAAATCCTATTTAGGGGTTGTACCAGAACAGGTTTATATGGTTTCATTTTCAAAAAATACCATACTGCACATTGCTACAGCTCCTCTTTTCACCCTGTGTTGAAGGCTTCGTTTTAGCTATGGAGTGATACATCTTGTCTCTAAATGATCTTTGTTGGGAGTTGCACATGAAAAAGCATAATACCACCTCATTAAAGCCGAGATTATTCTCTATTTATTTCACTGTTTGTCCTTTGTTCCCTTTCACTTCTTTACATATCTAAGAATTATGATAAACTGCTTCTTTGGTGAGTTATCATAACCAATAGAACTGATGGCCAAACCTCCAAAAATAAGAGCCGAATTGAGCTGAGTTGTTCAACGTGCTGCTGTGGACAGGGTCAGCAGCAACGTGTTTTAGCCACCTAAAGAAGGACCCCTGAAAAAAAAAAATCAGTTCAATTGTATCCTATATTTACAATATTTTTGGTGCTTTACCTGCTGTACAGCCATTTCCTTTGGAACTACATTTTCTCAACCATAGATCTTCGTATCCAGCTTGTTTGGCCGAGGTTGTACATAATCCTCTTCAGACAAGTGATCACTGCAAACATGGAGTTGTCCCAATACTGCATGTTGAGTGTTCTCAGCCAAGTTACACTTATGCGTGGGAATCTCTTCCATTCAGATAATGTAGTTCCAAAGGAAATGCCTGTCTGACAGCAAGGTAAGCGCTGAAATTATTAAACACATGGCGTACATTTGTCCTGATATTGATGTCTTTCAGTGGGCCTTCTTTAAGTGGCTAAAACACATTAGCTGCTGACCCTGTCCACACATTGCTTAGCTTCAGTGCCGGTACAACTCTCTGCTTCTCTGAACTGGGCCATCTACAACAGGTAATAAAAAAATCCCCAACTATCCCTTCAATCTGTTTAGACTTGTAGTGTTCCTTCAGCATACTAAAATCTGAAAGAGCCTTGCATCCAAATCAATCCTACAAGTAAACCAACCAGCCCCTTCTGCAGGGCACAATGAATCTGAAAAAGTACAAAAGAAACAAGTACAGGAAGCAGAGGAGACAAGAATGAGTCGTTACGCACCATTTGATGAAATGGTGCCATCTTCGTATTGTTTAACTAAAATAACATCTACAAAGTCTCGTGGAGCTATGATACCCATAGCTGCTGAGGGAGTGACTGTTCGGCAGATAGAGATGTCCTGCACAAGAGTGGGAGACAAGGGAATGTACTTAAACAAAGCACAAGCAAAAATGGATATCACAATGTACGCATTTAAAGCTGCACGAGGCAAGGTTTTCATTTTAAAACATGTATGTGGATTTGTTCTACTTGCTCAGATTTAGTGGGTTGGGAAGGGTAACTGGCAACAAAGGTTGGATTATTGAACCATGAGTCATGTATGCCGTTTATTGACACAAACTCACTAGATTTATGGTATTGCAGTTCAAAAGTTGCAGTTTCCAAACAGCGTTGCTGCAATGTGTTCGCCACCAATATGATAAGAGACCTAGTGCACCTTTAAAAATAATTCTTTAATGAAAATCAAAAGAAATTTGACAACTGTATGAAGTGAAACTGTTAACTAATACAGAAAGATCATGACAAAACATCCTGTGATCAGAAAAGGACATTAGTAACACACCTCTGTGATTTGTTCCAAAAGCTCAAACTTTTTGACATTGTTGTCCCACTTGACTCTGAGCCCGTTGGGTACTGGTTTCAGACACTCCCACACTTTCTCCGGGCTGCCGCTCACAACCCCGTCCCCCTTATAACTGCAGAGGAAGTCAGATGACAGTCAGGACAGTACATTCTCAAAGCATGGCTGCTGTGAATTAGAGTCATACATTCATGCACAGGCTAATGATTTAACAAATAAACAGTACATTTCTTCTGCTCTGCATTTTTCCAGCCTTGAAAAAAAAATGAAAACATGGCTAATTTCTAATACCAGTTGGTCGAGTTCTAGTCCACACCTTCCTTAAACATAATAACACATAATATATTTCTTTAAAAAATGATGAGGCATAAATAAAAGTCTAATTCTACTGCCGTGTACTCAGTGTTCATGGTGTTGCCTAATGTGTTCTGGCCAAAATTCACTGTAGAAGACTTGTTCAAGACAAGGCATCGGAAAGTTACACAAAATAGATAACAGTACCTGGTGGTAGCAGCTCTTACAATAATATGTAAAAGATAAAGTAGCATCTGTGATACATTCACAACAAACCACCTTTACCACAAGATTATTCCCTGAGGGATATCTCGCTGGGAAATGGCTTTTAATTTTTATCAATGCAGTTTTAGTTATCATGCAGGACAGGCAGCATAATATAATAAACATATGGTCAATTGAAGGCACAAGCCCTGACTGTTATCTTTATCTCTGTGTTCACCCTGAGGACAACTTGTCCACTGAAAAACTAATCTACCCATGGGACACATAAAGTAAAATGAACACCTGCACAAGAGCAAAAAGTCTTCTTAACTATCTACGGTTTCATCGGTGTTCAACTGTTGATTAAATCAAAACTAGATGAGAAAGAAAAAGTTGAGCTTCTCTCACACATTCCCAGGGAACTCAGACGAGGGACGCCAAGACACAATCACGTCATTCTGCCAAAGAAAACAGTGGATTTACAGTGAGCAACATTAACCTGTGTAATGAAGGGCCTGGTACATGCTGTTCCCTCTGAGACTCAGAGCTGCAACGATTAGTCGGACGAAATAAAGATAATAGCTATTTTTGTAATCAGTAATCGTTTCGGTAATTTTTCAAGCAAAAATGTCAATGCTGGTTTCCTGCTTCATAAATTAAAAGGATTTGCTGCTTTTCTTTGTTATTTATGATAGCAAAATAGGGGTCTGTGGAGTTTGGACTGTTGGTTGGACAAAAGAAGCAATTTGAAGACAACACTGTGGGCTCTGGTCAATCGTGCTGAGAATTTTTTACAATTTGTTTTGACATTTTTTAGACTAAACCAGAGGTTTTCAAAAGTGGGAAGCTGTTCCAGGGGTGCTCAGTGAAAGAAATATTACATTACTTTTTAAAAGGAGATCGAAGAGAATATCCTAAAGGTGTGAGATTTGGTTAAAGAGATAATTCAGACACACAGTAGTTTGAGCAAATTTGTTCCCACTTTGCCAGTCAGAAACAATAGATGTCTTAGGAGATACCTTTATGTATAGTGTCTGAAGTTATGTCAAACAGCAATATTAGGTCATCTGTAACTGTTGAGTGACTATGGCATCAAATCAAATCATGACGCTTTAGGCATCTGGGACTTGAGCAAAACTAACCAACCACCAGTCCCAGACTTTGAAAAAACCCTGAACTACACGATTAATCCTGAAAATAATCAGCAGATTTATCGATAATGAAAATAATGATTAGTTGCCGCCCTCTACATTAAAAATGGCATAATGCATTTCTTACTTAAGGAGTGACTGTGACAGAAAGTTCACTCTCAGGTCAGCCATCACTGAGCACCAGTGACTGAGCCTTGACCATGGCTCTCACAGTGTGTCTAGCATCGTTGGCACAAGTTGGCCCTTAACTGGACCCAACTGTTCAGCCAATGAAGCATTTTAGTTCAGTGTTGGTCTTAATTAGAATGTGTGGGTGACTGGGTTCTGACAGACGTGCTGAAGCAGGAGGATATATTGAACTGAGATGGTGAATTTCAGTACAGTAAGGAACAACAACACTCGCTTGGTGCATGCTACTAAAAAGCCCAGCCTCAAGTTTCGTAAAAAAGTTCACAAGACACCTGGCAAGGCCACATGAAGTGACACATTTATGAATGTACCCGTTGGTTCTCTAGCGTTATTCCAGAGAACAGCATGTATCAGGGCAAGTGGGTGTATCATATATATCAGACAATAATAACAGCATATGTTTACCGATTTCTTGCAGACTTTCCACCCGGACTCATCCCTCTTGTAGCCCAGCAAGCAGTCAGCCACCGCCTTCGCTTTATGTTCGTAATCCATAATAGTAAAAGTTAACGTTACCTTGCTAACCCAATTCACTTTGTAGACTAACGTTAGCTGACGGTCCAGCGGCTCCGTGACCGACACACGATGCTTTTTTTCTCTCAGTTCAACAGAAACTCAAAGTCACACTGTACCTGGACTATGTAACGCAGGTGCAGCCACGACATGCAACGTTGCTTAACGTTAGCAAATAGACCAAAACCTGCTCGGGTGAGCGTCGACCGCCACTACAAAGCTAACGTTAGCCAAAATGAATGAAACCTGCTACACAAAACCCGCATCCTTACCAAGCAGCTAGCTCGCGCATACGAGGTGTGTGGAAATAAACCATCCACAATTCCTGTTAACTGTAAAATCGTTTTGGCCTATTCCCGCGCGACAGGCCACATTTGTCTCAGCTAAAGCGTTTAAAAATTTAAGATTTCCCTGAAATACGAGAACCGTTTGCAGAAGTGACATATCCAGAAAATATAACTTCCGGTTGCAGCTTTCAAAACAAAATCCCTATATAAATCCCTATAATCACTATATACAAACCTAATCATTTATGACTATCTGCCATGTGCTTTTATAGCATTTAGCACAACATTTACAAGTTTAATAAAGTGTTGTACTATTGGTTTATGCAAAGCAACACATTGATTCAGCGACTATTTAAACATATTTTATTATGAAGGCAAACGTGCCCGACTCTTTCTTAAAATCTGGTTGGCTTCACGCACCTGCGGCCAGGATCATAGCTTGTTGCTGCAAAGCAAGTTGGGAATTGTAGTGGTCATGTCATTCCAGATGTAATGGTGTTTATTGAGGCCAGGTCAGAACTATTTTATTGTGAAGTGTGCATGGAAATCAAGAGTAATTATGTTAGCTGTATATGTTTTAATGGCTGGTATTACACAAGTAGAGTTAAAGTAGTGTGTTTTATTTTTTTACACATTGCTACAATATCCCATTTAATTATCTGACATAGCTGTTTCAAATTGATATGTACAGAAGAAAGAAATCGCATTTATAATAATATGCTCTCTTTCAATGCATTGTGTTAAAGAGGTCATATTATGCCTTTTGGCTTTTCCCTTTCCTATTCTGTGCATGTAATAGGTTTATAAAGTAAGAAAAAGCCCAAAGTCTAGCCAAAGAGAGCTACCATCTCCCACAGAAAACACTGCTCCTAAACTGCCTAAAAACAGTAAGTCCAGCCTTTAGTTCCATAACCTATCTGCATCACTATGTAACACGCTTCACAATGCTCGCCTTGCACCTGGCTAGTAGTCCTTAACTAGGTACTGCGCATGTGCAACTCCCATCAAAGATCAGCAAAAGTGAAATGTTTCACTCAGTAGCTAAAACGGACCATTCAACACAGGGTGAAAGGAGGTGTTGCAGGAATGTGTTGTATGACAAAAATATGGTGTTTTTTGAAAATTAAACCATGCAAACCTATTCTGGTACAACTGCTAAATAAAATGATGAATAATATGACCACTTTAACACCTGGTAGCATATACAGCCTATCTATGATATTTTGAGAAATTCAGAATACGTAACAGATAAGATAATTTTAGTAAAGATGTCATACATTGGAGCAGACCAGGTCATTTGACTCATTGACATTTAAATCAAAACTGGTTTTGGATGTTTTGGCCAGCTTTCCACGCCTGGCATCACACTTGAGATAGCGCTCCTTGTTGTGGATGACTTGAATGTACTGGTCAGTGCTGCTGTTCTGCTGGTCACTGCTGGAGGCCACGGAGGCGGAGTCTGACTCGGTCAGAGGGGTCTCCAGCTTTGGTCTCGCCTTGGGCTTCACATGAGACTCCATGTGCCTGGTCCTGGCTGGGGACTGACAGTGTCTTCCTGGGGAATGAATGTGACGCCTGGTTCGCACAAGAAGAGGGTCTGCTCCTTTCACATTGGCCTGGGACCGGGACTGTGACTCTAAATCTCCCCAGTCTATTTCTACTTCACCATCCTCCTCTTCATTATCTTCTTGCACTCCATATCTTCCTCGAGCAGTGTGGCTGTCTTTAGCCATGGACGCATGGCTCTCTACGCGGTCACCGATGTAGAAGTGTGCTAGGTGGTGGAGGTCAGAGAGGGAACAGGGCCGATGAGCCTTCCCCAATGACATCCTTCTCCTGCCTTTTCCCTGGTCCTCCTCCTCCTCCTCTTCACTCAGATGCTGCTGTGATAGGTGGGACAGTTGAGGATGTGGTTGGTGGTGAGTGGTGCGGGGTGTGTAGCGTTTGATGTTGCGTGGGTACAGCTCCAGGATCTCTGCAGGCTCCTCCATGAGGTAATGGCGTGGGATCCGTGTGGCTGAGCGCACCAGCTTCTTCCTTGGCTCGTGCTCATTCACAATTAAATAGCGGGTGGTATGACCACGCCGTCCACCATAACTCTGTGCAGTGACGATCCCAGTAGCCTCGACAGGACGTATGGAGCGTATGGTCTTCCTGTACAGGGGGTCAGAGTGGATGTTGTCAGAATAGTGAGCTGGGGGATTGTACGCCATGTGGTGGTAGGACTTGGACCTGCAGGCCCCACTAGGGCCACCAAGAAATTGTGGGGGCCTGTTATGAGAAAGGACAACACATAAGAATCAGCATATTGATAATAATTATGCAATATTAGCGTTAGTATGTTATTGCATAATGCTTTCAAAAAGCATGGACTGATTTGAAATGTCTGCACTGCACTGCCACATGATCGTGTCATTATTTTGACAAAATTAAAGGAGGCATGATGCTCACTGTGATGGCTACTTAAACAGATTTCAAAGACTATTAAAAGTCCTGAAATTAATGAAAACCAATGGCTACATGGAAGCTTGAAAAGCATGTCAAAAAACCTAAAACTTTACTCTGATGCTTAGCAGTGATATAATATATATGCTATTTGAACAAAAATGGTCTTAAACACGCAAAAATGCAGGTATGGTCTTTTAAAGCCAGTATTCAGCAGGTTTGGATTCTACCCTTATCATGCCAAAACATAACTTACAAGTATACAGTGCTTCCCACAGAATATTAGTCATGGAAAAGAAACTGAGACAGCATTTAGAAAACTGTCCACTGGTTAATGCTAAAGTAAGTACAAATTAGGGCTGAACAATTCATTTTTCATCAAAACTCACAGGAGCCACAATTTTTAATATAACTTTAAAGTAAACAATGGATCAAAATTAAAACTGTTTTTTTACTAACTGATGTTAAAGTATAAAGCCATACATTCCTTTTTCCAATCCATTTTAACAAGCAACTGCATTATTTTAAATGCATGAACAAGATATGTCTATGTACATATGTATCTTCTTTAATAATGTAGACCATGCTAGGGCTGACCCCAAATAGTCGAAGATTCGATGTTTTGATTCTCACAGTCAAAGCTTCACAGCGAAACAAGGATCTTGTCATTTTGGCGATATGGGTTGCTCAGCGTCTGATATTACATAGACCTACCTGTTTTCTTCCAATAAATTAATATACATATACCACACAAAGAATATTTTTTTGTTTTAAAATAGTACTTGAAATAGAACCGCAAGCAGTTGTCGGCCGCACAGCATGCACACAAAACTCTTTCACAAGACTGGCGAATGGCAGGAGAGCAGAGAGAAAATGTTCAATAATAAGACTCAGTTTAGCTGGAAATGTACATGAGATAGGATGAATAATCTCCCCATTAAGAAAGACGCTGTCCGCATTTACGCACCAGGTACAGCAGCATTATGTCATTGATTATTTGAATCTCCCGACACTCTGACAGGATTGGTCAACTGACAGCAGCCTCTCTGATCATGATCATTTACACATGATCCATCAGTGGAGCCACAGACTTGTTAAGAGGAGCCGAGCTCCCCCGTAGTTTGCACCCGGTCTACAATCTCGACCACTGGATTCTCGCAACAGGAAATAACATTACCTTTTTACCCATGGATTTGTTTTTCTGCTGCCGAAATGTTTCTCAGTGTTGGTGAAACACCAGTTAATTTGCAATATTTTTTATAAATGACACCGATACTGAATTGTTCAGCCCCAGCACTGATACTGATGCAAACAGACAACATGTATACTTTTTGCCCTATATCTATCATGTCAGTGTGTCTGAGACCTGTTAGGTCCATGCTCCAGCCTGGGTTTGGGTAGTATGGTTACTGTTGGACTTCTGACAGATCCAGCCATCCTTCCTCTGTTCAGTTCCGAGCGAGAAGCTGATTGGGCGATGGTGCGGATGCTGGTTCCGCGGCGAACAGGAGACTGAAAGTTTGTGACGCTACCATTCCGCCGGGGAGATGGAGTGTGGATGGAGGCCTCCTGGCTCGTGATATCGCTGTCCTGCTGATCTGGCTTTTTGTCCACTGCAGCCTCTGGAGCCTGCAGTCTCGCTAAGGTTGGGTTAAATGTCACAGGGTGAGGGTCACGACACTAGATATAATGAAAAACACAGAGGAGACCTGAAAAAAAAAACAGAGATACCTGCAGCTATCTGGAAGACTTTCTTCTTATCCTCAGTCCGCTCCTAAAGAGATTAAAGGACAATTCCACTTTTAGACAGACTGAGACCGTCACATATCATAATGTTCAGTGTGGAATGGATCGAAGGTTAGTAAGATTAGTTTTTATTATTATGTTAGAATTGTTTGCTTAAAATGAAAAAATGAAAATGATTATTCAGTTGCAATTGTTGCTGAATAATGTTCTGTCAATTGACTAATCAAATAATTTTGATTAATTTTGAAACAGTGTCGCCATAGTTAGTTTGATAGGTGGTCCACCAAAGAGCACTGATTTATTTTTTAACTGTAAAATGTTCGTTCAGTACAAACCCTGGGCATCATTTTTTAATGACTGAATTCAAGGTATCCTTCAAAATAAAAATCAGATTTTGTGTTTATGTTAAAAAAAAATAAGATATTTGTAACCATCCAGTATAGTTTTGCCTAGTGTTTTGCATCCACAAAGATCTCTAAATACTCAAGGTTTGTCAATTAACATTTTGAAGTTACATAATTTAATTCAGTCCTAGAAACTATACAAATTGAAAATAAATATTGCTTCAGAAACGCACAGTCTGGAGCTGCATCCTCAGCTGGTTGTTCGTGAATTTGAGGGATCTGGCAATGGCCTGGAGATAGTATATCAGCATGCTGAAACACACAGGGACACAAGTCAAGAAGGCATGTTATATGAGTGTGTGTGTGTGTGTGCGTGTGCGTGTGTGCAGTCTTACAACAGCAGAAGCAGTGCAGGCAGCACGACGACAGGGCTGGTAATGTAACTCATCACTTTACTGAACCACAGGGGGAAGTCACTGGCCACTGTCTCAGAGATGATGTCATAAATCTTCTCTTGGCCACTGAAAAACACATTTAATCAGAAACAAAATAAACACAACCACACCTAGGGGTGCAGGTAGCTGCTCCTCCTTCAAATTTGGT